ACCAAGCAAAATACTTGGGTACTGGTGTATTTCAAACAGAAATTAATTTTTATTTTTTAAATAATTGAGGAATATAGCATGAACGTACTTTTAAGTTCTTGGTAATCTTAAAAATTTTAAATATTCTCTGTAATCTAATGTTTTATTGAATTTTAGAGAATTTTGGCTATAAATTTACTAGAGTTAACTCTTATTTTCTGAAAATTTAAATGCATAAATGTACTGAATTTTATAGATACAATCATGAGTGACTGTATCCATAAAATTCAGCACATTTATGCACATACAAAAACAATTCAAATTTTTTTTAAATATTCAGGGTCATTTATACCATTGAAACTAAATTTTAAAATATTTAAAAATATTATAAATTATTCTAATTAAAATTGTAAAAAAAAAAAATGAAAACAGATTTTTCAAAAATTCATTTTTATCAATTTTTTTTCTTAAAATAATGTCCTTATTCATAAAAGCAATTAAAAGATTCTCTAATTAAATAATGTCTTAGTTTTATTGCATTTTTTTAATTTATGATTCAGAACGGATTTTTTTAAGATGGCATCTGTTTTTACAAAAGAAAATTGATGATTTAAATTAGGCACCTCCACTAATTCGGGATAATTTTTGATACCTAAGTTTTAAAATGAATTTTTAAAAATGAAAACGCATTCTTGAAAATTTCTTTTTAGCTTTAATTGAAAGATAGAGGATTAAATTGGCTATTTTCAGTAGGTAAAATACTCTGTATTTTGAAAAGCAATTACATATATTGGAATATCAAATATTTGCTCAATTTCAAAAAATCTGTTTACTGGTGTCCATTTCTTACATTTTAACAAGTTTTAAAATAAAATTTAATTATCAATTTTAAAAATCTTCCAAAAATGAAATGTTTATGACATGTTATTTGAGTAAAATTAACAAATTTAAAAGTAAATTAATCTGATTTGAAACAAATTTTACTTATTTATATCATTAAAAAATAGTATACAGGCATTTCTTAACAACAGGTCCTGTTTTTCTCATGTTTTTATTGATGTTATCAATAAGCTCTGTATGGATGACCAGAATTGACATAAATTTACGAAATCAAAGTGAACACATTTTTTTTTTTGTTTTTTAACTACCTAATAATTTTTACAAATTAACATATTTTCAGCAATTATCTAATATTTTATTGACTTTTAGATACATTTGAAGATGCTTTATGAAAAAAAAAAAGATTTTAAATACTATAAAATTTTCTGAGATTAATTTTAAAATTTAATAACTGAGATGAAATGCCATAATAGAGGTAACTCAATAATTTATGACCACAATAAAATAAATACATAAAATAAAAATATTTCGTGAAATAGAAATTTTAAAAAGTAAAACTTTAAATTTTAAAGTTTTAAAACTGAAGAAATGATATTCAAAACCTATCGAAATGTAAGCAATAAATAACTAATTGGAGACAAGCAACTGCAAATTTCTCTCTAAAAAGAGGACGACTCTTAGAACACATGACCTTTTCATAATGATGTTACATAAAAAAAATCGGAATGCTTAAAGTAAATAAATAAAAAAAAAAAAAAAAAAAAAAAATTTGAAAAATATTGGTACAAAACGACTTGTAATAAATTAAGCTTTTCAATTTTTTTTTCATAAATATAGTTTCTACTTAATTACGATATCAATTAAAAGAAATACGTTGTGGGAAATTTTTAAACAATTTTTAAATTATGATAAAATTATGAAAAAAAAATGAAAAAATTCTTGTAAAAATTCATTATTCATTGGGAAAAAAAATTCTTAAGACAATAATGTACTAATAATTCATTTACAAAAAACAATTAAAAGGTTTTCTAATTAAATAATGGCATAGTTTTTATTACATTTTTTTAGTTTACCATTCGGAACAGATTTTCAGAAAGCGAGCAAAAGTTTGAAAAAAAAAAAAAAATTACATTCACCAAAGAGTCCTAATTTTTATAAACTAATAAAAAAAAACTTTGGACATACGATTTGATTTCTCGAAATTAAGTAACATGTGTTAAAAAAAAAAAATCGAAAGCAAAAAATTTCAAAAATAATTTCATTCATTTGTGAATAAGTTCTGAAAATTTCATTAAGATCCGACCATTATTTGATTTTTGCAAGAATTTCCAAATTAATGTTTTTCATCGGGAAAAGGCGCAAAAACTCTTCATTGTAAAAATTACTTACGTTGCAAACATAAAAATAAAAACAGGATTTTTAACCAAAATGTAGATCATGTTAGAAAGGTTTAAAAAATAATTAAAAAAATACTTTGGTCTTTCCTCTTCATAACAACATAAACATTTTGATGATAAAACTTTGTTTTTATTACATTTTGGGCCTTTTTTTCATCATGCTATATGTTTTTTTCAGCGGAAGGTATGTTCAATAATTCGCCGAAAAAACAACATAGCATGATGAAAAAAGGCCCCAAACTTAATAAAAAAACAGTTTTATCGCGAAAAAGTTTGTTAGGAAAAATCAAAGTATTTTTTTAATAATTTTTAAAATTTTTTATTCCTTTCTAGCACGTTTAAAATTTTGGTTAAAATCTTTTATGTCAGCGGTCGCGTAATATTTACAATACATTTTTAGCGCTTTTTTTCAGTTGAAAAACGCATTAATTTGGAAACTCTTGCAAAAATCAAATAATTGCCGGCTTTTAATAAAACTTTCATAACTTATTAAAAAATGAATTTTAGAAATTTTTTTTTTCACATGTTACAACTTAATTTTTAAAAAACTCGAATATGTTTATTTTTGTAAATTTTTTAATTAACAGAAGACTTTGAAGAAAATATTATAAATCATCGTTTTTTGTTTTTTGTTTTTTTTTTGTAAATCGGGGAACTCACGTCATATTTCTGAAGTAAATTTTATCCACAATAGAAAAACATTCATTAAACTTCCATTTGTCATTCAAGCTGTTAAATAGGTATCGCTAATCTTTGTATTTTTTTAACCTTCAGCAGAGCACAACGATTTTGTTATCTAACACTGACTGAATACTAACAGTAACACATTGACAAACACGAGATAATTTCGTGATTGACAGATTTTTTTTTTATTATGACGCAGACTACAAGTTATCTCGTGTCAACGAGTTTATTCGCACTTCGCAGTGTGAAAAAAAAAATGTTAAAACTTCAGTTGAATTGAAGTTTTGAAAGCTGAAACTAACCTTTAAAATAAAAAGTCAGATTTCGTAATTGCGTGTTAAAGAATTGTCCCATAAAAAAAAAAAGAAAATCAGTTCCTTGGAAGATTGGTGGGGGGGAATCAACCCTAGAACATTTTTCCTGAGAAAGTTTCTCGAAGCGTGGAATTAGAAAATAAGTCTTTCATTAATATTGAACAACTGTTTAGTTTAAAAATCTTTATTTTGGCTCAATAAAAACTCTATGAACTTTTTGGTTACCTAAATTGACTTCAGATTGTAATTCCATTGGCAGTAAAGCCTATTTTTAATTAAAAATTCAACTTAAAACGAAACTTATTCTCAAAATAAAGCTACTACTAAAAAGATATCTGCAATGAATCAGCTGTACTAAAAAATAAGTAACCAAGTAATCTTCATTTTTTTTTTTTAAATTCTGAATATATAGAATTAAAAAGGTTTGCCACTTTTAGCGAATGGATATTACCTTCAGCATCCCAACTCCAGAGTTTCGTAGACAGACTCGTCCATCCACTCGTCAGGGCTATCAGCTATTGACTGCTTATACTTCTCGATTCTACTTTTTTATATACACTTATCATTGGTGCAAGTATCGTATTGAACCAACTTTATATTTGTCAAATATATGAATTCAACAAACTTTAGCTGAAACCAATGAGGAAGAGAATATCAGTTTTGATCAAAGAAAGTTTATTTCTCACCCAATTTCATCATAAATAAAATTATAAAAAATAGTAAATATATATATTCTAAAAATATTTTTTAAAAATCTTAATACATTAAGTAAGATTAAAGTGTTATGTTCGATTAACTATATTTCCCAACTTTTAAAATTATTAACTACATTCATTAAAATCATTTTTCTTTTAAATGATTTTTTTTTACAGAAATAAAACTAATTTTATTTTTAAGTGTAATTAACAGTCAAATCCTTGAATAAAAACTACCAAAATAAAAATAAATGAATTGTCTGCCTCGAAATAGTTGTTTTTAAATGCTTTTTAAAAAAAAAAAACAACAAAAAAACAAAAACACGACTACTTTATTGTGTACATCATGTTTTCACTGCTCTATGAAGGTGTTCGTTGATTTAATCATTCGATGGTAGGAACACTTACCCGAAGAAGAAGTTAACTCATCTGGTATACTAGGAAGCCACCCTCCTGATAGGGTTAATTTTTAATTTCTTATGCCAGAGTTGTACCAAAAAGAGAAATGCATAGAGATTGGGCTGCGTTGTACACCCTCCACTCTTCTATTTCCATGAGGACCGCACATTGATTGGCATTGTGTCAAATTTGTCATCATGCTAAGATAAATAACCACCTGATAATAAGAATCGTCCAGTCTGACCTTTGTTTTGAAAAATGACTTACACCTAAAGTAATCAAATAAAACTAAAAGAATACGTAACAGCAACAGTAGAAATATTGTGTGCAAACTCGTGTATTTATTCAGTCACTCACTCACTAATATTCAAACAAAAAAGAGCGCTTAGAATTTTTTTGTACATTAAGTCACTTAGTTAATAATAGTTTACAATACATGCGCCTCTCTCATATGTCACTTTGCTGTAGTTCTCACTCTCATCATCAGTATACTATAAATTATTAATGTCTTACTATTTGAATAGGCTTTAAATCGAAACAATACCGAAAAAACTCATCTTAAAAAAAATGCTTACAGTTCAACACGTTGTTCTATGGGTTCAGTTACCGCCCTTGTTTTCCACATAGTAATGTTTTGCCACGTGGTGGCGTCGTAATGCAATGTATTTTGATGATTGCTTGTTGAATTCAAGATGAGTAACTTAGAAGTTTGTGGCGGGTTTATTATAAATTGGTTTTGTAACGATAACGAAATGAACCCCGTCGGTAGTTCATCTATTGATAATCAAGTAAGTAAATACAATTTTATTTTGGATTATAGAATTTCACAAGCTTCGTGTACAATCACAGCATGAAATCATTATCATTTATTATAAAAAATATTTCCCCGCTTTGTTTGCTTTTTTTTGCCTTTTCTGACTTTTTAACTCTTGTAAACTTTTGTATCTTTTTTCTTTCTAATCCAGGAAGACTGTCGTTATTAGATAATAAATTAGGCGATGTTCTTTAGAAATATGATTTTTTTTTTTTTTTAATCTATATCTTCTCTTATTCACTAATTGCGGGGGGTATTTTAAAAACTATCACTCGTAACTACTTTTAAGTTTCTGAGATTAATTTAGTTACATACTTTTATTTTCGAAGAATACATCAATGCGATAAGGGCATTTTCTAAAATAAAGTCTAACAACTTAAGGGCACATTTCGAGTTTCTTCTGTTGTTGAATCGATTGCGAAAATTTCATAAACACATTCGCTGTATGGTATTTTGATTTTTTAAAAAAAAAAAAAATAATAATTCTAAGTTATCTTTGCTTCTATTTCTTTTGGGAAATTACATTTTTTGTTTATGTTCATTATGAAGAGTGATTAAAGATTTGTTTTTTAAACTAATGTAACACTTGCTTAGTAAATTCATCACTTTTTAAAATGTATTTAAAAACTAAGTTGAAATTTACTTCCCTCAACGCCTACTTGCTGTTAGTGTTAAAAAATGCACGCCGCATCATATGGATTGGATTTTAATCATGAGGGGAAAAAAAGTAACTTTTTGTTGTTGTTGAAAAGGGATTATTTCACTTTGATCACTGTAGCTTTTAAATTTAAATTAAAAAAAATAGATTTTAAAAAATCATACGTAACTTAAACATATCGGTTTGTATGTTATTTGTTTTTATAGCAACATGTACGTTTGAGGTTAAAAGTTGTATAAAGTAAATTTAAAAACAATGAAATTTTAAATTACACTTTCTCATGTTCTACTTAAATTGGGATTTTTAAAAATATATATCAACAATTTTAAATCTGATGTTTAAAAGATTGCCAGTACGTGTTCCAGTGTTGTGATTATGTAATGTAATCCCTATGGATTGAACATCGATTTATTGTAAATTATACATTTTACTCAAAATCTAAAATTTAACTTAAGGTAAAGCGCTCCACTTCAAGATCATTTTATTTACTTACTTCTAGATGTAATTGTAATTATATCCAAGCCAAGAGTATTTAAATAATTATTTATTGTATTTTATAAAGGTGTGTATTTTGTGTAAAGAAATAATAATAAAAAAAAAAAAAACAATTGTAGAAAGTAAATTTTGATGCTAATGATGCAGGGTTTAAGTAGAATGATGATGTTTCTTGTTTAGAAAATATTTATTTAAATCAGCAAAATAATTGATGATAAAATTGTGAATGACTGGGACAATATTTCACCTTAAACAGAAATTGGATTACGATTTTTCTTTCATACTAATAATTTCAGCATAGTACACATTGTACTGCACTCGTGCACTAATTCTATTTCAGCGCCTTTATTATTAGTAGTGTGACGTGTTACGAATTCAAAATTTATAATAATTTCTAGCATTACATCGCTTATTTTATCGAACTTTTGTTTATTAATTTAGTTTATTAGCCAAGGTATAAAATAAAGTTACTTGAAAATGACTTTTTCACTATTTTTCAATCATTTTAGTTTTATTTACTCAATGGATTTTCATATTGTTGAATTAATTATCTTTATTTTTGTTAATAAATTTATTAAAATTTGTTGAATGGAGTTTGTAATTAATTTTATCTTGATTATTTTTTTCAGACACTAGATCATTTGCCTTTGTCACATCCAGAACATTTTGGCACTCCAGTTATGCAGAGCAAGAAAGGAAAAAGAGGAAGATATTCTGCTTCAGGGTTTGTGTCTTTTACCTCTGCATTCGTAAAATTTTGAAAGTTTATATAATTTCTTAAATTACTTAAATTAATGAGTTTGCCACCCTTGTTTCTTCTGATAGTAATATTCTAAGTTTTTTTTTTACTCTTATTTGGAAAACTTTAGATTGTTTTCAATGAAGTTGCAGGCTACTTTAATTTTTGAAATTGCAATGAAAATAAAGTCAGTGAGGAAGAATGAATGACAATGTTCCCCCATAGGTGAAAAACAATGAAATTGTATATAAAACTGTAAAATCTTAATCATCCAGTTTGAAATTATGAATTTCACTAGAGTTTAAAATCTTTAAAGAATGCTTAACATTTATATTTTACCAATGAATCATTAGGAACAATAATGAACTCCTCTCTTTAAAAGATTTATTCTTAAAGTAGAGATTATTTAAATTAATTTATTTTATATGTATGTCATAAAATCTTGCATTAACTATATTTACATTTGCTATACTGTTTACTTAAGTATGACTAAAAGTTTACAATTTTTCTTTTGCAGCCTGTCTTCATCTTTCAGGGCTGATTATGAAGAAGACAGCAGCTCAGAAGAGAGTCCACCTAAGAGAGCTTCATACAAAGGTCGTTTTCAAGAGCTTGTTGGCAAAGTAATGTGTATGGAAAGTGGTGACAAAAGAAAATCACCTTTGTATGTTCCTGTATTGGTGGTACTACCTGATGCTCACCCTGTTGAACTGAAAAGCAAGGACCATTTACTTGTTAGGTCATTCAAAGATGGTAAATTGTAAGTACAAAAATTCTTTTTTTTTTCTGTTAAAATCCATAGCATTGGAATCTTAAGAGTAGTTTCAAAGTAAATGTTATTACAGAGGATTCTAACATCTAAGTAAAACTTAACAATTTCTGTAAATTGAAGATCTGAGTGATTTTTATAAAGACACATATTGGTCAAATATAGGCAGAAGGCACATAAAGTATTGAGAAAATATTAAAATTAAGATAGTTATTAAGATTTGAAACATAAAATAGAATAAAATAAGCACTGCATTTATAAAGATATTCAGTGCCATTTATAAAAAACATGAATGTTTAAACTACAAAAAATATTGAATCTGAAATGAAAGTTCAATTTATATTGAAGACAGTCGAATATAAAATACAAAAATCTGATTAGCTGCTTAATATCTTTCAAAGAAATCTATATACTGGTTTGAAATTCCATTTCATAAACTGCTTTGACCCTATTTCAATTATCTTCATTGGCCTTTTCTAATTTTTATTTCATTCAGTTACAGTATAAACTTGGTAAAGTTTTATATTTTATGACTCATTTATTTCTCTTTTTTTTCAGTTAGGTATTAAATAGTGACCCTTGATTTTTTATTTATTTTTTTAATTTTTTTTTTCCTGATTTAAATATTCAAAATAAAGTGGATTTTTAACCTTATATTCTTTTTATTAGATTTGTTTACCCACTTTTATATATAGTAGGCCTATGGTAGAAGGGTTTACTTTAATTCTTTCAGATTCATAGAATCTGTGAACTTTGTTAATACAAGATGTATGGTTTTGAATATCTTCTGGCTCCTATATGTATCATACTCCATCCTCTATACAAGTTAACTTGGACATTCCAAATTTTCCGTGAACTTGATACATTGTATAGTTCAACAGGACCTGTATATCCATCTGTTTGTCATAGAGAGCAAAGAGATTTTACTACATTGATAACTATCTCTTCTCTCTCCCCACACTAATGATGACAAGACTTGTATCTTACCTGAAAATGGTTGCCAAGAAATTAAATAAATGAGGATAGGTACATGTGTGTGTGTGTCTGTCTGTCTGTCTATCTTAAGAAGTTCATGCATAATGGATAGTTTTCTATGGTGTTGTACCAATTATCTATGTTCTTTAATATTTGAGACAGTTTCCTCTTTATGAACCAAATAGAATCTTTCTTTCTCTATATTTTTGTTTTGTATGGGTATCTTTACATATCCCAAACTAACAGTTTATCTATCATAACCCTATTCTATTATTTACATCAATTATTGAAATGTCTTGTTTTTAGAAGTAGGTATCCCAAACAAAAATCTTGTTTTCAATATATATATATATATATATCTTGACAAAACATAAAAAAATTGTTACCAAATTTATTTTGGCAACTCAATTAGCAACCGAGGTATGACCATTCAAAGTTTGTCAGAACTTCAAAAATTTTCTATCTTGTGTGCTATTATGATACAATAAATAAAATATAATACTAATGGAATCAATAAGTATTAGATCAGACTATTTTAAACATTGTGGGGAAATAGCTCCACCCCTCCAAGAAATGGTGCACAAATGACAGAAGGGCATATTTGACTATTTATATCAGTTTTTATTCCATCAGTTAATGTCTTGCAACTTTGCTATCATTCATAGCACAGTAGAAATAAAGTTTTTGATTTTCAATTTAATACCAGAATAAAAAAATTATGGTATAAATCTTTACCAGCCACAAATTTTAAAAAAATGACCATTATGCTGAATACTTTTTCATAGATATAGATAAAAGGCATAAAAAGAGCAGCTGAAGAAAAAGCAATTTGAGCTGAGAGCTTAGGGGCAATACAATGAATAAGTACCTTACACAATTAAAATACATCATAAAGAAATTGACAAAAGTTTCAACTCGCCTTCAAACTGAAGTATCCATGAAGTTGAATTAAAAATGGGATTCAGTTGGTGACATTCACTAACTTGGTCAGCAATTCAAATTTTGTTGCATCAAACCAAATGTACAAAATAGATTCACCTTTTGACTTAGTTCTGCTTAAGATTGGATGTGTGCAACCAACTGATTGTTACAAGGTTGTTTTTTTTCATCCACTAATGTTTTCAAATTTGTAAAAGGCAACTGCAAATCCTATTCTAAGTTATTTTTTTTTCTTTAGGATTAGACTACTTTGTTGCGTGTAGAGGCACACTAACTGCAACAGATTTGAAAATGGCTTAAAGTTCATGCCTTTTTAAAGTAAAGAAGTACCTATCATTGAAATAGTGATATGATTTAAAGAGATATAAAAAAAAAAAGCCTAATCATTTCACAAGAGAAAGGATGGTGCCTTTGTAAAGAGAAAAGATTAAAATTTCTTTAGATATTAATTTATGAAAATAAGTAAAATCTTGATAATTGAACTTGAAAGGAATTTCACTATTGACTAATTTTCACAGTGTAAGTTAGGGAGGTTTGGGATACTTATTAAGATTTTAATTTTTTTTTCTGTGTGGATAGTAATAGAAAGCTTGGTTAGTAAGAATTTTAAAAAGTAAATTCTCTGATGATAGTAATATCACGATTTTAGCATTAGGATTGAGAAGTAATAAAGCTAAAGATGTGGGTGAGGAGGAACAACAAAATTCATATAGGAAAGAAACATGTATGTATAGATTAGTGTTAAAAGAAGATAAACAATTTATACTTTGTAATTCTTTCTAGTTTTGCATAGCTTTACAGCATTTTTGACATTAACTGTTATCAAATTAATGTCATTTGCTTCTTTTAAACAAAGTTACTGGGAATGAGCCTGCACTAGATGAGATGGAATGAAGGCAACTTTTTTAAAAATATTTTTCACATTTTTTTTTCTTTGTTTTGTTTAAATAAAAAAAATATTTCTATTCACAGCATAACAATACCCAAAAGAGATCTGAAGGATTTTACAAGAGACATTGCTCTGAAAAATGAAGACAAAGGATTGAAAGCTGGTATGTGTTTTTTTTTTTTTTCTAAATTCTTTTCAAGAATATTTGATCAATACATTTAATTCTTAAGTTGTATGTTCATCTTAAAATGGTAACAATATTTGGAAAGGATTATTTACTAAGATGACATTAAAGGTCACAATATTCTGGTTTGTAACATTGGTATTCATCAGTTTAAGAACAAGGATATTTGATAAATTTGTGTTCAAAAATCTTTCATTCTGTTTAATTGAGCAATGTTTGAACAACTTTGACTAAGTGCAAAAATACATTAATGTATGGGAAATTGAACAAAACCGTTTCTCATATGCACATTTCTTTTAAATTCTAACTAAAAGAAAATGTGTATTTATGGATAACATTTCATATTTTTTAATCATAATTTATTATAACCATTTAATTTGATAAAAGTAAGTAGCAGTAATGTAAGACGAACTTTCTGTAGAAGAAAAAAATTGTCATTTATGACAAACCTAACATAAAACAATTTTATAAATCACTTAATGTCTTTGAAAAGTAAGTGATACTAAAATATGTTCCTTATTTTAAATAAGTGTTTCTTTGAATTCATGTTAACAAAAACATTCAGTGTATTGTAAATTAGTTTAGGCATGATGGGTTAATAAAGTGACTATAGTTATTTAAAATTATCAAAGGTGAAATGATCATCTTTTATTTACAGCTATGGAGAAAGCATTGTTATACTTTGATTGTCATGAGCTCCCACAGAATTGGGCCAAAGAAGAACTGTTAGGGACTGATGATGACAGTGAAAATGATGATGAAGAGGTAAATATTAATGTTTTAAAATACTTTGATTTGGGATTTAAAAAAAATTTTTTGTGTTAAGAATAGCAAAATAAATTTTTTTTTTTTTTTTTTTTTTAATTTATAGATTTTCTGATTTCTTCAAATATTTTACATTTTCAATTGCCATAAACTAAAAAAATAAAATTCTATGATTGATATATCTAAAATTATTCAAGTAAGTTCCAAAATGATAAAAAAAATTTCTTTTTTTTTTTTTTCTTGTGTCAAGTCATCTGACGATGAACCGAGTGAAGAAGAAGACAGATTTGTTGCTCAACTGTACAAATTCATGGATGACAGAGGTGAGTAGTTAAAGAATTTAAAAAAAGAAAATCTGAAAATTTTCAAAATGTAATTTTATTAATAAGTTTATTAATATGATTAGAGTTGGCTGATAATTTTAGTCTACTTATAAAAATCTTGTTTTAGTGAAAAGAAACTGGATTGTGAAGGAAAAAATTAATACAATCAATTCATTGAACAATCTAAAAGAGATTACCATATAATTCTTAAAGATGCCAGTTTTTAGCATTATGCACTTTAATCTTTACTATTATTTATTACTTGATATATGTACTTGACTAGTTTTACAATTCTGAACTTTTTATTAATTCATGGTTAACAAGATTCACTTGGATCACATTATAATTGAATATTTCTTCATCTTTTGGGAAATTAGTTTGAGATTACCATATCAAAAGAAAATATTAAATTTCATTTATAAACAATCAAATATTGTTTTCTAGTCTTACTGTTTCAATATTCTACAACTGTTGCTAAAATATTTTATCTTCTAGGAACACCAATCAACAAAGGTCCTTCCTTAGGCAATAAAGATCTTAACTTATATAAACTTTTTAAAATTGTTCAAAATTTTGGAGGCTATAATAAGGTAAGTTATTTTATATTCACTATCTTAATTGAAAATTTAATTTTAATTAAACATGTAAGTTTTGTTGCTTTAATGTTTGACCTGAAATTTTCCATATTGAAAAACTAACATTGTAATCAATATCATATGAAAGTATCATGACTATACTTATCATTCATGTTAAATCTTTTAGTATATTTATAATATAATATGAATTTATTAAATGTGTAATTATGTCAATGAAGAAAGCATTTTTAAACAAGTGTTTTTTTGTTTTTGTTTTTTTGTTTAGCATAGTCTTCTTGTCAATGCATTTAATTTAATAGTTACTATTAATCCCATAGATGGAATATTATACAGTGAAAAACTCAGAGCAAAATTGGGTTAATAACCTTGTTTCAGTCTACAGGCTTGAAGTTTCTTTGCAAATTTAAAATCAAGATGTAACTGTTTTTAGGTATGTCCATTTAAAAAAAAAAAAACAATTCTTTGACTTTCAGGTCACAAACACAATGAAGTGGAGATGGGTATATTCTAAAATGAAAATGCTAGCATCAAATACTGGATCACATCAAATAAAAAATGCTTACAAAAAGTAAGAATTTTATTTATTTTTTTTAATCTAAAAAAAAGGTACATAAAACTGAAATTATTTTTTAAAAAAACAAACCATCCCATATTAAAACAGTCTATCTTTGAGTTTTTAATTAAAAATTCTGAACTTTTTAAAAAGCTATTCATGAAGAAATTTAGAAGTTAAAATACAGCATAGTTAAATGATTTTTTGCTACCTAGAATCTGTAGATCACCATTTAAGAATACTTAAAATATCATTTCTCTATTGATAATTGTTTTCTATAAATTCACTAATATCGTGAATGAAAAAAAAAAATTGACTAAAGATAAAAACTTGGTTTCTTAGAATGTTTACCTCAATATTAAAAAGCACTTTAGGTTTCATCTCTGGTATGACAAAACATTTCAACAAATGTTTTCAGATATTAATTTTAAAACATAATTTCCTCAAACTTATTTTTTAATCAATTTTTCCATTAAGGTACTTACATGCATTTGAAGACTTTTACCGAAAACTTGGTAGTACAATGGGAACTATCAGCCGTCCACGAAGTAGTCGCCATAGTACAGGAAGAAGTATTTTATTTTTGAGGGCTCGTGATAGTTGCAGATCTCGAGAACGAAAAACAGCAAAAGATGAGGAAAAGGTGGGTTTGGTTTGTAAATTTGTGGAGGGATCTTTGTTAATGCCTTATTTCAAGTTTCACTTTTGATAGAATCTAAAGTCATTAATTTGTAAAATGGTTTGTTCCAGGAAGGTTTCAATTAGATTTATTCATTATATTATGAGACTGTTTTCATGATTTATTTATTCTTATTGTACACAGAAAAATTTGTTACACAATACTGTTTTTGTATTCATTGACTTCAGATTGAATATTCTTTCTGGTTCAAGTAATTTCATTGTCAAAACGGTTAATGGAATTGCATACAGTAAAAATAAGTGTATTTGGAATTGGTTAAAACTGAATCAATATAGTTGAAATTAATTTACATACTGTAGAAACCACAAACAAAATTATGTATAATTACAGTTGAAGACAATAAATAAAACAAAGCATTCATTCTGAGGACTTATCAGAGTTGATTTCCAATTTATTATAAAAGCATTAAAGTCATTTTTTATTCTTTCATTTTTGAAGATAAGCATGTAACTCTTCATGTGTCTTGTATTTTCAGTCTAAAGATGAAGAAGACAAAAAATCAAAAGACTCAGATGCCTCAAAGGATAAAACAGATGAACAATCCCCTTCTGTCACAGAGGAAACAGAAAGTGAATCCAAGGATAAATGTGATGAAGAAGGAACAAAGAAAGAAAGTAGTAAAAAAGAAAAGACAAAGCGTGAGAAAGACAGGCTTCGTAGAGAAGTAAAAGAGGAACCAGACAGTGATAAAAAAGATGATACAAAACATACAAGGAAGAGAGATGATGATAAAAAGGGAGACACACCAAAAAGTGTAGACAAGAAAACTAATAAAAAAGATAAAGAAGCAAAAACACCTGATGTTAAAAAAGAACTACCAAAGAAAAGGGTTTGTAGCTATTTGTCTCTTTCTATTTTTTCTTGTTATTTAATGAATAATGATAGGGAAATAAATATAAATTTCACAGGTCAGTCTGTAATTTGCTTTTTAATAATCTCTTCAAAAATTGATAGAATGAACTTTTATAGAAATCAATAACTTCAAAAGTTTACTGAGCATTTTTACTTTTGTGATTTAAATGACTGATCAAAACATTAGATATGATAATATATTTTTTATTAGTGCTATATAAAATGTGTTCCTAAACACATTAACTGAACTTAAATCATCATAGGAATACTATATAATTGTTGAATGATTATTACATTTTATTTGTCTAATATTTCATACCAAGTTAACTGAAACACTTATTGGTACAATAAATTAAATATGTAGTTCAACAAGTGGTAAAGGAAAAAAAAAGAATTTTGTCTCTGTACTTGACCATACATAAATTGTACAAATGCTAATTGATTTTTGTGATAAACTTTAATTTTCTATGATTTTTTAAAAATTAAATTTGAATAATTACTTTAAAAAGTAAAGTTTAAGTCCAAAGCTAATGCAGTTTGTTTTATTATATAAAAAATGGAGACCACACATTGTACATCAACGTAGTTGTACATCACAAATTCACATCACAACATAGTCACTGCCTTTTTTAATGTCAGTGTCTTATTTACAAATGAAGGCATGTATCCCAGCTCTGTGAAACACTGCTGGCTGCTGATGTATCCAATTCCTTTCATCAGTTTTCACTTCTTTCTCCATCTGAATTAGTACTCTCAGGCTTCCATTTCTTTGGTTCAATTAAAGAGCCACTGAGGGGCAAACTGAAGTGAAAACTATTGTAAGGAATTGTCTACATCAGCAGCCGGCAGAGTTTATAAACATAGGATATATACCCTCATTTGTGGGTGGAACACTGTTTTGTAAAGTAGGGAAGTAGGTATGTAAACTTGTGATGTATAGCCATATTTTGATGCACAATATGTTTGATTGTGTTCTTTATTTCTTAATAAAACATTGCATCTTTTTTTTTTTTTTTTTTTACTAACCCTCATACTTTGCAGTTCACTAATTGAGCTTTTTGATGTAAGATGATTAACATATTGAGATATTGAATTTCAAATTAATATTTTTAAGTATATTAATTTTGTTTTTATAAATTTCTACTTAAAAAAAAAACTGATAGGTTAGAAAACGGTCAACGAGAGGGGATGATGTAAAGAAAGAAGCTGATGAAAAAACTGCTTCTGATTCTCAGAAATCAAAAGTGGTGGATATGTGGTATAAAGATGATAAGAACAAAGATTCTAAATCTTCACAGAAAGAAGAAAAAAATGTAAAAGATAAGAAAAGCAAAGAGGATAAGAATAAAGAAATGCGTGAAGATAAAAAGGAGAGTAAGATTAAAACAGAACCAGATGATGATGCTGAAACCAAAAGGTAATTCTACTTAATAGTGTTCTTTTTTTCTTTTTTTTTCTTCTTTTTAGTACTTTTCAATATGTATTTAGTTGATTTAAATTGAGAAAATGTGTGCATTGCCAAATCTATAGAATCTTGGGGTTAATGATTTTATTTGGTAATTATTTAATGAATACACATTTTTGTATAGTCAAAGTATTAAATGGCATATACAAATGAAATAAACTATTATTAATTATATTTTTTTATCAATTCTCCTGAATACAAAAACTATAGTGAGTACCTTCAGGTATTTGATTCATTTCTACACGTCATTAAATATTTTCAGAAAACAGGCTATTTTGAAAGTGTTTACTTTTGTATCCTAGATGGTAACATTTTTTTTTATTTACTTTTTTAAAATTAAAAATGACTTCCATTTTAATTTCTGTTGCTTTTTATCACAGCTGCCAGATCATTCCAGCTCAGGAATAAAGAATAAGTTCCTGGTGAGACATAAACTTGCATCTCTCATCCTCATAAAGACCAATTGGTTGCAGTAATTCAAATCTAGGCCTCTCTTTATTTTGCTTGAATACCTGATACACTGCCATCTTTGTTTACATACACTTGTGTTAGTTGTAATCATAATCAAATTTCTTAGATGAAACAATGTCAATAAAATTTTGATAGGTATTCTTTCTTAATTTTTTGTCACTTTTATCACAACTCCCAGATTGTCACTTCACCATACATTATTAATAATACTAGTGTATGTATGTAATAAAAAATGGCAGCATATCAGGCATTAATGGAAAAGAAACATAGATTTGAATTACTGTAATCGGTTGGCCTGCATAGTCTAATTGGTAACACAGCTGCTATGGAATGCAACCTCCTCCCCTAAAAGATAATGGATGAGAGTTCAAGTCTCAACAGAGGCTTATTTATTTCTGATCTGTACTATTTGCTGACAATCTTGGAGTTGCAATAAAAAGCATCAGAAATTAAGAGGAAAGAAATATTAGTCAAAAATGAATAACTGAAAATTTTCTAAGAATTTTTATTATTATTATAAGTTAGTCTTATAATTTTAAGGACTCCTTATCAGTCTAGTTGTACAATCTATAATTAGTGGGAAATCTTTTTTTCTCCTCCCTACAGAAAATAATGGTGGCTCATATACTGTCCAGCTTAAATCATTCCAACCAACATAGTCACAATAACAATATTATTCTCACCACCTTTATAACATAGGTGATTCCCTTGAGATGCATTCCAATTCTTTCTTTACTAAGTAAAGATCATTCACACCAGCCTGACTTGCATATTTGTTCAGTAAACACTCTAAAATATACCACTTCCTTCATTTTGTTTATTTCTAGTTAAGGTGAATGTAATGCCATCTCTTTTGGTATGATCCACCATACCAGACTTCTTCTTTTTTTTTTTTTTTTTTTTTTATCCTTTGGATATGAATTTTCTCTTGTTCTCATTTCCACCTTTTTATGGTGGATGTTATAAATGCAATCTTTTAACTTCTGCTTCTCCTTTGAGGAGCCAACAAAAATAAAGAGGCTGTGAAGAGTTGTTTTTGCCATTGAAAATCATGTTAATACAGTAACGGCCACAAAGCCTTATTACGTATGACATGCTTGATGATGTGATATGATTCAGAGAATCTTTATCTTTCTTCCTCATCCTAGAAATGGTCATGATGCTCTTTTTGTTCATCTTTTTGTGATATCTGCTGAAAACTTTTGCCTGCTGTTGTTGATAAAAACAAATTAAGACCTCTCCACTACTACCACTTTATTAGAAAAATTTTGGGTAAAGAAAATATTATATCCAAAAGAGAAAATGCTTGTTTTCTTTTTCTATCATGAACTGAACAGGTAGTCTAATTGAGTTTGCATGATACTAAATGTGCCACCAATAGAGCTAAGCTAAAACAAAGGTTTTATTAGAGGAACATAGGGTAAGATAAAAAAAACAAAAACTCAATGTTGATGTTAGAAATCACAGAAGTAGATACTATAGCAAAAATCTTCATATCCATATATATCATGTCAAAATAAATTTACTAATAGAGTACAGACCCTTTAGTTATTCTTTTTAGTTACATTTTTAATTTAAAAAAATGTAAATATATTAACTGATCTTCAGTAGTGATGAAATGACAATGCTTTCATTTCTGGTATCTCTACTACATATTTATCATAAATTTCAATGCCAAATTTCCACCGCACTTTTTTTTTTCTTTACAGGTTAAACTTGGAAAGGAAACTGTAAAAACAAACTACTTGTTTTCCTTCTCTATTATAAACTGCATAGGTGGTCTAATTGAGTTTGCATGATACAACAAAAACTTATGTCATCCTAGCAAGGTCAAAAGGCAAAGGCTTCAATAGAGGAATGTAGAGAAAGAAACAAAAAAAATTATGTTAATGCTAGAAATTCCATGGCTTCTTATTGGTGTGTTTTGCAGAAACTGAAATTCTGTTCTTTAGATACAGATAGATAGTATATTAACATACTAATTTAATTGTTAATGCAGATATTGGTGCAGTCTTTGAAACAATGATAATTATTCAGTTTGTCAGAATAAGTATAGTTTATTTCAGTGGCAACATATTTAGTCACAGTTATACATATAACTCTGTCCATGCTTTCTGTTATCTGGATCCTCTCAATGCATGTGGACTTGATGGTATCCCTGCAATAGTTCTTAAGAAATGTCCTCCTGAACTTACTCCTGTTCTCTAAACTCTGCAATAAATGCATTGCTGCTTGTTGGAAATCCTCTTCTGTAGTTCCAGTCTTTAAGAACTCTGAACCGTTTGCTCCTTCTATCTGCCTATTAGCCATCTACCACTTTTTGGCAAAATACAAGGGGCTCTAATCAACTCTAAATTAGTTGAGCATCTTACATCACAGGGTCTTCTTTCAGATAAACAATATGGATTTTGTTTCTCCAGGTCAACTGCTGATGTATTAACTATTATTGCTAAAAAAGTCCATCAAGTTTAGATAAGAATATTGATGTTCAGATTGTTACTTTGGATTTCTCAAAGATATTTGAGATGGTTTGGCATACTGGTCTTCTTCAGAAGTTGAAAGTTTATAGTATTTCTGGGTGAATTTTTGAACAGTTTCTATCTTTAGTATCAAATCATGACATGAAAGTTATCCTGAATGTCCACTCTTCTATATCTTTTTGTACTAATGTAGGTGTCCCCCAGGATTCTATCTTTATACCTACATTGTTCCTAATATGACCTTTCCCATGTCATCAATTCTCAGCTCAATATCTATGCTGATGATACAACTATTTACTACTATCTTAATAGTAGGGCTGATTTGTTCTATAAAGTCAAATAGGCAGCTGATCTCAAAATTAACCTACAGTCTGTTGTCAAATGGGGCAAGGAATGGTATGTTAATTTTAATGCCTAAAAAATGAAACTACTCTTTTAATTATCTGAGAGAGCTCTTTTTAGTATCAAGTGCAAAGAGTCCCTCTCCTTGAGGTTAGTATAAGCATGGGACTCTTTGCTTTGCACTTTCTTGGACTAATGTTTTCAGCTGACATGAAGTAGAAAGAGTATCTTGAATCAATTGCTAGGTTTGCTGCTAGGAAAGTTGCTTCACTATGTCGTGCTAGACAATTTTTCTTGCCATAATCTATCTCCATGCTTTGAATATTACTGCCACATCTGATCTGGTTCTCCTGCTATACTAGATTGGTGGCAAGGTTTCATCTTTTTTACACTTGGAATAGCTATAAATGTAACAGTGATTTGCTATTCTTACAGATTCTTCTGTCAGACTTAATGCTTGTGGAACTCTCTTCCAGCTTCTTGCTTCCTATTTAACTTTCATCATCAAAATTTTAAATACAATGTCAATAGTTATCTTTTGTCTTTTTAATTCCTGTTGTTTCTTCTCTCTCCTTAATAGTAGTTTTTCTCATTCTCTAACACTCAGTAACCTCTTTACATCCTAGTGGCTTTATTGCCTTGCTTGGGGTGAAATGATTTAAAAAAAATAGTAATGAGATTTGTGCACTATTTTGATCAGTTTCATGAAATTCATTGTGTGATCATCAAGGAGTCACTCAAATAGTGACACTACTATCCACTGTAGATACTGAAATATTTGCCTTTGGATATGTTTGATAAGCCATATAGTTTGCTATTTGCTTTGTTTTATAAATTTCAGTACCTTTTTAGAATTAGTGATTTTTTTTTTTTTTTTTAAGGATCTGAGACAATTGTTTCTGTAAACATTTTTAACTACCAAACTCTTGTCTTTTTTTCATGAAGCATAATTGTTACATTATCTTTAAGGATGAAAGTATTTTTTTCTCTTTCAAGAAATCTTTTGGTGATGTTTTGTTGTATTGGCAGTAAGTTCTTCCAAACATGTCTCACCTTCCATCTTCATCCATTTGGTAGTTTTTTTTTAGTTAGAATCACTTCAATTAACAGCATTCTTAATAGACTTGTGCTAATAACTTAGTTTTGTAATTTATTAAATTTTCCTATCTATTTTTTTCTCTTAAAGAAACAGATGAAATCTTGCAATGGTCTAAGCTGGTCAATATATTGGCTACCATTCTATTTCAACACTTTCTATAAAAAAAACCTTTCAGTATGTATTGTACATCTGAAGGAGACTGTAGAATTGATTGGCAAAAAATGCAATACAATGAGTGGGGAGTGGGTGATTTGTCTAAATATAGATGTTAAATGTTCAACATCCATGCACATATGCACATATATATGTGTGTGTGTGTACGTGTATATATATATATATATGTGTGTGTGTGTGTCACTTATTTTAGAAGTGAAGATGCTGCTGATACTGATGAAGAGGAAGATGAAGAAGAGGAGGAAGAGGAGGAGGAAGATGAAAGCAAATCTGTTGGGCTCAGTGGATCAAAAGAATATCCCACTGGAACAAAACTAAAAGTAAAATATGGCAGGGGAAGAAACCAGAAAATATATGAAGCAAAGGTATTGTTTTACTTTGTATTTTTATTAATCTTTTATTTCTTAAGAATTAATTTGAATAAATTTAAATAATTACAAGAAGCTGATTATGTAATAGGCTTTCTAAAAGCTATAATTTTAAATAATAATTAATATAGTATCCATTGATTTATATTCAGAAAGTTATTTGCACTTAGCTGTCCAGATTCTATATTTGTATGTCTAACCTTTGGTGATATTTTGAATTTGAAGTTTTGGATGAAAAAATTTTAAAATATAAAAAGTTTGAAGTTCAGTTTAATTAACATTTTGAATATACAATGTGAATTTAAGGCATTTTTCTTTCCCCAAAAGCCAATATTTCTGCAACCAATCTTTGTTACAAAAAGAATTAATTTAAAAAAAAAATCAAAGTAAGTCAATATGTACAGTTTGCTATGAGCATCTTAACATTTATAGAATGACTTTTATACTTGTGTGATCTCCTGTTGATTTCACTAGTGTCATATTCAAGACCTGGATATAATTTTCAAAATGAATACTAAAAAATTGTTTCTTTTGAACTGCGACTAATTTTTGCTGATTAGACCTCCATTTTTTTCTTTTTTTGTTCCATTTTAGAAGTAAGATCTTTTATTCATGATATAAATACAATATCAAATCAATCCCAGAGTTAAAAAAAAATTTGTTATCTTTGTTATTATTTAAAAATGTGAAATTTGAAACTGACATCATTATTGATATTACAACTTATGGAAATTCATACGTCATAGGATTTAGCTTTTCTAGAAATAAAATACTTCAAATCAAGATGAAAGAATCCACTATATTTGACTAATGGTTGTTGTATGAAGGCATTCATCAAGCATGAGCATTAAGGAAAGTTCCTACCATCTTAAAAATGGTTAGAAGTTTCTATGGGGTCTATCAAACAACCTGCGAAGAAGATAAGAAAGTGATACTTAAAAAATAAAAATAAAAGAGAGAAAAACAAAAAAAGATAAGCTACAAACAACCTTGAAAATAAGCTTTATACAGAATAAAATATTGAAGTTTGATATGGAGGTTGATGATTTACAGGAACAGTTATGAAAATAATTTTTGAAATAGTAACTTCTTAGTTTAACTTTATTTTTGTTTTTCTGATTCAGTGAGATTAGGGGTGCATGTAATTAATTGCTGTATTTTTTTTTTTTTTATGTAATGGATAAGTTCTGAACATAGGTCCAGGAACAGTAAGTTCCATTTTGACAAGATTCAAATGTCCATTATTAATAACAACGAATCTCAACATGCAACCACCTCTGGCTAAGTTGATAACCCAACTTAGCCAGAGTATATTTCTGTTTCTGAAAATGTTAAGAAGTTTGATATCTGCTGAAGTCTCAGTTTCTTATCAATATTTGATCTGTAGACATTTTGTTTGACACTTCTTTTTACAATACATATTTATTAACTTGTTTATAGATTCAGTCATGGTCTCTAAAGGATGTTTTCTTTATCTTGGTGGTGCTTATTACCTCTTGTGTATACTATGAGCTACTGATTAAAAAATGTCAAGATTTTTGTGAAGTGTTTTCAAAAGATCTGCAATTGTTAGGGAGGATTTTTTTTTCTTGATTATGAATGGAATTCTCTTCCTAAAATCATTTAAAAAAAAAAAATCAATATTTTTCAATTCTTTCACATCTGTGTAATAAATGGTAATCCACAAAAATTAATCACAAAAAATCACTTTTTTCATGACCAGACCAGTTTTCCTCAATAATGTCTAATTTAACAACTACTGCAAGATGTTAAATTTCATTATGAAATGGTTTTCATTACTAGATCAATGTGTACAACAAAACTCAAATAATGCTATATAGTTTAGATATACATGTTTTAATTACTTACATTTAAACATGTATTAAGTATTCCTTCTTTAAGTATATTTTCTTATAATAAACATTTATTTAGGTTGTTGAATTTGGTGCAGAAGGTGGGCATGAACAGTATTTGGTGCATTATGCTGGATGGAATACAAGGTAAGTAGAAAGTTAATCTAATCTTTTTAAATAATTTATTTTCCATCTGTCTTAATCTATCAAACCCAAAGAAAACATTAATGCAAAAATGATATTGAATAAAATAGCTCGTATTATAGTTATGCTAAATAAATTTGATACTGATCCAACTACAATTAAAAATCATTTTCTACCTTTATTTTTAATAAGTATTTAATAAAGTAAGAAAAGAAATAAAAACAAATTTTATGCCTTTTTATTTTATAAGTATTAACTAGAAGTTAATCCAAGGTTGTAATCATATTTAATGAGACCGCATTATGCTTTAGTCTTAGCTACATTCTGGCTAGTATGTATTGCCATAGGCCAGGACACCAAACTTTTTCACAAAGGGCCAGATAACTGAAAGTATGATGAGCACAGGCTGGATAACCATTTTGTTCAATGTAATACACTGAATTCACAAACAATAAAGACAAACATATTTATTTACTAAAAAGTTATCAAAGAAGGTGACATTAACAACAAAATAGTTATATCTTCACCCAGCGAACACATCTGAATCTCACAAACTAAGTAGCAAAAAAGGTTAGTGAGATTTCGGAAACTGGTGTTTACCTTTTAAGATGTAATCAATATTTGCTTTGGAATTGCTGTATCCAAATACAATGAAAAGAAATATGTGTAACCCAGTAATCAAAAAATTTACCCTACCCATTTTTCAGCTGCTCTCTCTTCAATATTTGTGGCTTTCATTCCAACTTCTGTGGTCTATAATCTTTTCTCTAGAAATGTTCTGATATCTTTGCACTTTGTGAAACTAATTTAAGTTCTCCTATTGCTTCCAATGAATTTTTTGTTCCATGCTTTCTTCCTCTTCGCTGAAAATATTCTAGCATACATATACATGATCTTGGTGTTTATATTCAGGAAATCTTCCAATTACAATGGAATTCTCACTTGAGCCTCCAGATGTTTCTTTCATATACTTTCAACTTATATACTTATCAGGACTAATATATTAAACAAAATTTCTGGTAATATAGAAATGGCTCTTTCTCTATGTCTCTCTGAATATTTTTGTGTGGTGATTTTGATGCTCATCACGTAAAGTGGTTTAATCATTCTGATGTTACTGATGTTGCCAGTATTCAGTCTTTAGTCTTCCATTGCTCATTCTCTGTCAAACAGTGAATGTCCCTACTCATTTCCCTAATAAATCTGTTCAACATTCTTCTTTACTTGATTTGTTCCTTGCCTTCTCTCTTAGCTCTTGTAGATTATCACGACTCTGTCCTCTTGGCAATTCAGATCTCACTGTAGTATCTATTGATATTTCTTTTGAGAGCTATTATAAAGGAACCTCCTATTCACAAGACACTCCTTGGATTGATATTCTTAACCTTCCTATTGAGAATTGTGCCACAGAGGTTTCTTGTGTTAAAGCCAGCATTTATGCTCTTGTACCTTCTTGCAAATATAAAGTAAAATCACAATCTACTGGTTCACACCAATTTGTTCAGTCAATATAGTCCCCAGGAGTCACTTTTTCCGAGTGTACCAACATGATAGTCCCAATTACAACAGATGCCTATTTGCATCTGAGGATATGCTAACATTTATTACAAGCAAAGAGGCTTTGTTTACTGACAGAATAAGCCTGTAACAAGTTTGGTGATTCTGTAATTGTGTGTTAAATAAGAAAAAGTCTTCTTTCATCTCTTCATTCTATTTGAGGTCTTATCATCTGCTGATGAAGCAGAATGTTTCACTTGAAAATTCTCTTCAAATTCTACTCTTGACTTAACTGAAGTATTTTTGCCTGACTTCCCACTTAGAACCAAGTCTCTATTGAGTGATATGCATATAACTCCATCTATGGTTTCTCTCCACAAAGCATCTGAACTTGATGGTATCTCTCCAATAAGTCCTTAAAAATGTGTTTCTGAACTGGCTTCTGCTCTCTCTCTAAATTTTATAATAAATGCCTTGCAGCTCCTTGCCTACCTGCTTGTTTGAAACCCTCTTTTATAGTTACAGTCTTTAAGAATGCAGGTGAACCATCTGATCCTTCTATTTGCCTATTAGCCTTCTACCTCTTTTTGGAAAAGCACTAGAGGCTCTAATTAACTGAATTGGTGATTTTTGCCTCACCTTGCTGGATCATCTTTCAAATATGCAGTATGGCCTTCGCTTCTCTAAGTCAATTACTTATGTATTAATGATTATTGCTTTCAAGCTTTAGATAAGAATGAAGATTGGGCTGTTGCTTTGGATATAAGATATTTGACAGGGTTTGGCATACTGGTCTTTACAAGTAGAAAGGTTATGGACAAATTTCTGAACTGCTTTAGGCTTTAGTATCATATCACAAAATTAAAGTTGTTTTATATGGCCACTCTTCTAGATCTTTTTGCATAAATGCAGGTGTTCCTCAGGGCTATATCTTTGGATCTCCGTTGTCCCTAATTTTTATAAATGACCTTCCTGATATTATCAGTTTCCAGCTCTGTATCTATGCTGATGACACAACTATTTACTACTGTCTTAATAGTAAGTCCAGTCAGTTCAATGTGGTCAAATTAGCAGCTGATCTAAAAAAAAATTACCTACAATCTGTTATTAACTGGGGTAAAGAGGTGGCTTGTTAACTTTAACACATCCATATGAAAGTACTTTTTTTTTTTTTTTTTTTTTTTTAAATTTAAGAGAACTGTTTTTATTTATCTTCCATCAGCATGGTTGATGCTAACTTTCAGGAGAGTGACTTGTGTGCCTTCTTGGACTAACAAGAATGACACACTTAGTTAAGATCAAACTGCAAGACTAGAGAAACTTAAAAACAAAACAAATTGTAGCAATTGTATTTCATTTAGTGATATATATGTATGTGTATATATATATATATATATACTCTTTTCTCCCCCAAAGGTATGATGAATGGGTGCGACCAGAAAGAATAGTTAAAGTTATTGGAAAGCCTGAATTAGGAAATAAGAAAAAGTCAAAGAGTCATTCACCAAGATCTCCAAAGGTAAGTCTTAAAACATTTTTATTCAGCAACCATTTCTGGAAATTTGCTATTTGCATAAATAGCTTGCATATTTTCCTGCTTTATTTGTTAACTATAGAAATGGAAAAGAAATATATATATATATATATATATATATATATATATTTATTTTATTTTAGTATAACTCCCCTCTCTCCAGAATGTAATATGGCTTTAATTAATGAATGGATTGATGGGTACACTAAATACAGAGGAACCATTTTCTTTTTCACTTTTAGTATATTCCATTTCTACCAGTTTTATTGTATTTCATGTAAAAATTACGATAAAATGACATTAACAAAAAACAAAATTTTAGTTTTATGACCTGTAAAGAAAAAATTAAAATGAATTCAAATTGATAAACAAATTAAATGTAAAAGAAAGAATTAAAAAGGTTCAAATTTTGTCTTTTTCTTAACCTTTATATTCTCTTAATTTTTCATTCTATTTATTAAATGTATGCATTAAACTTTGTAATGTCTTTAGTTCTAATAAATAGCAAAGGGACTGAAACAACTAGAAATCTGTAACCAAGGTAAAGTTGTTATTTAAAGTCATACAAGGAATTAAACTTTCTTCACTATATTTTACCATATTATGTAAATTTTATAATTTGGGCTGAATATTTCAAATAGAAAATTAAACTTTAGATACTGTCTTGCTAGCTAAATTGTGTATTAATGGATTGTCTAATTTTTCATGTTTCCTTGCAAAGCTAATTTAGATTGTTGTATTTGGCAATCTATTCCCGTGATGCAAATAAAATTATAAAAACAAGTTTTAACTGCATCAGCTTTTCAAGGATTATAAGTTTGAACTTTAAAATCAAACCAAATTGGTTTCTTTTACTATAAAAAAGTAAATAGTAAAGAATACACACACACACGCACACATAGATTTTTGTGAATTCGGACTGAGCATTTTCAATAATTGAGAATATTATCTTTTTTTTTACCCATTGTACAGGGAGTGGGGGCAACAAAAAAGCGTGTCCCAAGCCAGAGTCGAACACAGCAGAGTAATAATTCTACAAAAGAGGAAAACCGTACTTCAAAGAGCAAAACTCCAGCCATTTCATCTTCCACATCAGCATCACTTGCTGCATCAACACTGTCCACCACTATTTCGGCCACCATGCTCCCATCAACTGCAGCTATTTCTTCTTCATCATCATTGTCGTCGTCGTCGTCGTCGTCATCTACGTCCCCAATATCCGTGTCATGCTGTAGTACCACTACTGTGGCTGCCATTACTACCACTACTATTTCCACCAACACCACCACAGCTCCTGCCACCTCGGCGCCACCACCACCACCACTACCATCTTCAGCACCATTAGTGGCTCCTCCACCACCATCTTCACCCCCACCACCGCCACCGCCTCCTCCACCACCACCTCCCCCACCACCAATAGCTGCAACGCAACTACCACCAAGCACGGCTCCACCAGTAACTTCTGTGCCAGTGGTACCAGTGTCTACGACTTGTGCAGCAGCGGTGGCAGCAGCGGCTACTGTTGTTCCTGTATCACCTCCCTCAGCCTCATCTCGATTAGCAAAGGACAGCCAAGCAAAAGTTCGTCCAACACGCTCAAACAGCATGGAGTTTCTTGTCGTGGAAGGACTCCCACGTAAGTAGACCATCATACAAAATTTTTGTGTGTGTGTGTATATATATATATATATATATATATATATATATATATATATATATATTCACAGACCAAGTGTTATTAAGTTGGAGGGTTTTTGTAAAATTATTTTGATGAATTTAATGAAAGAAGAATAAAATCTTGTGTGTGTGACATAAGACTTATATAATAAAAATAGAATATTTTTAAATATGAACTATTGTGATTAAAATAGGGGAAAATTTTTTTTTTTTTTCATTTGTAACTTGATTTTCAGCTAAACGGCGGTCTTGCAGGAGTTCTGGTTTCACAGAATCTTCAGATTTCCAGTCACCAGGTAAAAACCTTGAATCTTAATCCAGCTCCTAGTTTTAATATTTTTTATAGTTTCATATACATCTTGTTTGTAGTTGTGTAAAAGTGTCTGTATTATTTAATATACTTCATGCATTTTGAAAAGAATACAAAAGCTTTCAAATTGTCTTTCATTAGGTTTTTTTTTTCTTTATTGATGATTTTGTTTTATAACTTTACTTTTACTGCAACTATTTCTTTTATTTTAGCTGAAAGTGAAGATGATCAGGATAGTGAAGTGGAATACAACAAAAGTGAAAGAAATTTGTTATCAGAAGCACATTTTTTTGATGCCTCAGAAGAAGAAGCATTGAAAGAAATGCTAATGAAAATGGAGGAACAGGAACGGAATGCTGAGAAAGAAAAAATAAGTTGTGAGCCAACAGAAGTAAGTGAAACAAAACCTGTTGTTGAAGAATTGGTAGCGCCAGCACCCAAGGAAGCAATCTCTCTGCAGATTGTGAAACCTGAAGCACAACCAACAAATGGCAATTTCAAAAATATTTCTGTGGTTGCTTGTGATGAGGTGCTGAAAGTATCAAGTCAAAAGTTGTCTAAAGAGGAGAGTCATCCAACTAAGGTAGAAGCTGAATATTATGAGTCGAGAATACGTGACTCTTATGAAGCAGATGATATTCCAAACTTAGAATGTGATGAGTCCATCTTTGATGATTCAGAAGAAAGTGAAGTTCACTTGCCTTATCCACCAACACCAGTTGTTATGGTTCCAGTATCTGAAGTGAAAGATCTTCCAGAACGAGAAAATCAGAGTTTGACGAAGGAAACAGAAAACAAAGAAAAAAAGGCCAAAACCCGAAGAAAGGAATCCAAAGAAGCTAAAAACATTGCAATGACTAGTTCCAAAGAACCAGTCTTAGATGAGCGGACTTTTTGTTATTTAGATATGAGTGCAAAGATGTGCTCAAATTTGGTTAGAGGTGGGACCTCTGGAAGTTCAGGAATTGTTGATGATGGGATGCAAGATGTTGAAGTTAGACGTGATGTTGAGGAAATGAAAGAGTGCAGTACAAATGAGACTGAAAGAAAGCGAGTGTCAACAGCAGCAGCAGCAGCAACACCTCCACCATCTTCATCTGCAAAGAAAAAAGCAAAGAAAAAAATCTCAGGTGAATGCAAGGATCTTGAAATTACGACTGTAGAACTAAAAGAAGTTAACCTTCCGATTTCAAAGAAGAATTCTTCAATTTCTGCAAGCAGCAAAGTGTCAAAATTTGAAAAAATTGATAAATGTGCTTTCCCACGCACCAAAGAATTTAAAGACACAAAGCATAATTATTTGTCTGCAGTTCCTAATTCCAGTTCAAAATCAGAGATTCGTATTGAACCAATATGTACCAGTGTTTTAAAATCTCTTTCTTCTGCTGGGAGTGCAGAACTATCATCCTCTTCTGAGAAGGCACCTGAACAAGTTCCGGGTGGATGTCACCTTGAAACTGTACGATCACTTACCTCTGACTCTTTTTCAAATGTCAGTGGTGGAAGTGGTGTGCAGTCAGAATTGGTTGTGTCATCAAATGTTGCAGTTTCATCTTATTTGCCAGGATCAGAGCCAGTCCCTTCAGACTCTGAAGATGTCACGTCACTACCACCACCACCACCTCCACAACAGCAGCAACAGACCTCCCAGGATGTTGACCATGAAGAGGTAAGTCATTGTTTCTCATTTGATATGTTCATTAAAATAAAGACATTATTGACAGTAAGCTAAGTTTTATTATTATTATTAATGAAAAAAAAATTGTGAAAGCAAAATTTGATTAATGCAATATTTATATTCATCAAGAGATTATATTATGAGATGATGACCATTTTCAAGATCCTTTATTATGAAACTGACTTGGTTTTGAAATGGTAAAATATCTATATAACTTAAGGAGCATTTCTATTATGAGTAATAAAATACATATTTATCTGAAGTGTTGCTGAAAATTTTAACATTATTAAAGTATTTGTAAATGTAAAGACTTTTAACCAACCTATATTTATAATGTAAGTTATTTTATTTTATTACAAAATGTATGAATCCCCAACCCTATTATATTTTGAACTTTGCTGTCACAAAACCAACATAGATATTCTATAAAATAATCATATCATGTGTGTGTGTGTGTGTGTATACATGCACACACTATATGGAGCTTACTGAGTTTACAGGGTTGCAAAAGTAGGTATGCAGTAATGTAAGACAATGTGTGCACAAAACATTGTATTGATTATACAAACCTGGTATAATGCTGCATACCTATGTTTGCATATCCCTTTATATACACCTTATGTATGTATGTATGTATGTATGTATAATTAAATGTATATTAAATGTAAGTTAATGAGATGCGGATATAAAAATGTATTGCTAAAAATGATGCAGACACCTCAGGATGTTGACCATGAAGAGGAGGATGAGGAAGATGATGATTTTGATGATGATGAGCATGAAGAACCAATGAGACGTGATCCACTCCCAGGTGGAGAGTCACCACATGAATGCAATGCCAGTACAATTTCGAATGACAGTTGTGGGAGCAGTAGTGGGAATATTCCAAGTTCTGATAGCAGCAATGATGTAGCACCTCCTCCAACTGCAAAACGGAAAAGAGAAGATTTAGAGTTCATGCCTGCTAAAAAGAAAAAACGAACAAACAAGACAAACAAGACTGGTATTGAAAGACGGAGAGAGACAAAACCTTCTGGTAAGGCTTTTTACTGATTTATTTGAATTTGTTTCTAAATACAGCCACTCAGAAGATAGTGTTTGGTAATTTGAACTGTATGGTAAATGATATTCCACTCTGGAGGGATACTATAAATTGTTCCTTTTTAAACAATATTTTCCTTAAGACATAATAGATTGTTGTCTGTAAAGCTATATACCTTTTGCATGTAGAAATATTATCCTTTTGAAGTGAAATATGTATAGTATGCTTTTATAGCCAACACATTTAGTTGTGTTAATAATTTTTATTATTTCTTCTTTTATAGTCTAATTAGTTTTTGTATATTTAATTATTTTTAATAAAATTTTAGATTATTTGATATTTTTATATTATATTAATAAATATCTAATTTGTTATAAAACCAGGTAAAAAGATTACTCTAATAATATATTTTTAATAAAATAATTTTATAGACTTTGAGTTTTTTTTGGAACAAAAGTTTTTTTTCTACTTTATCATTCATATGTTCACTATTACATGTTATAGAGATGGATAAAGAGTTCTTTTATATATGAGTATTATGTGCGTGTGAAACTGTTCATTATGACTTCAAGCATGATAGGAATTATGTCACTCGGTTATGTGCCATGCATGATATATGCTTAGGCAATCATGCATCTTTCGATACATGTCTGACAAGACACTTTCTTCCCACAGTAGGTTGCCATTTCTTTCAGTGGTAGACCAGTTGACTTGCAAGGTTACAGAACCTGCTCTGTCCTGCTATTTACCCATAGGTGGGAGAGGATTCATACCTTTCCTAAGGGTATTAGTACATAAGTGAATGTAATGGATTCGATTGGAATTTGAACTCAGCTCTCCGATTCCTCAATCCGAGCAGCTATCCATTACTCTACCATGCCTTTATGTACTTATATTAAATTTGTATTCTGCATTCATATTTCTGCATTACATGGGATGTGTGAGCGGTGTAGTGGGTAGCAGATCAGAATGAGAAATCAGAGGGCTAGGTTCAAATTCCAGTCAGATTCATTATATTCACTTACATGCTAATATCCTTGAGAGAAATGTATAAATTCATTTTCCTCTACTTGGATATGGATTAAATAGTAAGAATTATATCTGAAAAAATCATTGTTATTCTTTAATCCCCCCCTCCAATTCTTATAATACCAAATATTTTTCAGCTTTAAATAACCCAGAAAGGGTTGATAAGCTGTAAAAAAAATTTTAAAAAATCAATCAATCTGCAACACATTTGTATTAATACAGTAAACATAATTTAGTATGCAAACACGAAATCAAAGATGTAAATTTCATGTATCAAAAAACAAATTATGTAATTATTTATAATAATGAGTTATTAAATCTTTTGAAGAATGTGAAGAAAGTTACAGTGTGGAAGACAAAGGTGCTGAAACATCAAGTCCTGAATATGAAGCATCACCAATATCACATGCCTTGTCAACACATTCGTCACTGCCAAAATCAAATTCAATCACTTCCAAACCACCACGGATTTCCAAGTATAATTTTAATCTTGGTAAGTATTTTTATATATACTTTACTATTGTCTTTTCTTATGGAACCTTTTTCTTAGATTTACACACTCAGAAATTAAATTTACATTACACATTCTATATGTATAAGCATAAATAATTTTTGTCAATATATGCATATTTTTCATATAAATGATACTTATGCATCTTCACCAACCTATGAATACTTAATTGACAAAGCAAAATATTTTTGTCTCCTGTTTTTATGTATATGTTTATCTTAATGATTCTTTTCCATTTAATAGATGAGGCACAATATCTTGATGGAGAAAAACTCATCACATTCCTTATGGATAAAATACAGCAAATTCGCCGAATATATATGAATCTAAAAACTGAAGTTGCTTCAATTGACAGGCGGAGAAAACGAGCTAAACGGAAAGAAAGAGAAAGTAAGTACAAATAATATTATAGGCAATGAGTTTGGCCAAAGAAGCTGTTAATAAAAATTATGAGCATGATCTTGTTAGTAAGAAGGCATCTAATATAGACTTGATTTCATTTTATTTATTCCACAAATAAGGATGATGTCAGCTTTTTGAAAGCTTGGTGTTTGAGATAATGTCTCTGATTGGTTAATAAATGCCAATGTGGAAATTTGTAGTTTATTTGATCCTACTTTTGCACAAGATTGAGTTGATGTCTGTCTGAGCCTATTTTTTCACAGAATTGATATTACTTAAATCTAATTGAATTTTTTTCTACAATTTTTAACAGGGCTCCACATACATTCTTTTCAATTGTAGTTGTGATAGTTGGGAGGTAGAATAATATATCAATTCATTTGATTTGCCTGAATGGTCCACTCCTATTTTGAAATTCTTTAAAAGCCTTCTGTTTTGTGTTGAATATGAAATAATTAGGGTATTGGAACTTGAAAGTATTTTCAATGTATTTCTCCTTATGTAAATATTGGGGGAGTGCTTTTAAATAGAATCTGATAATTATTCTGGATTTTATTTATGATGAGAATAGAAATTTATGAAGGTATTTTAATTAGTTGATTTGCAATGGACAGTTAGTTTTAGGTAATTATCAATATGGTGTGACATAATATCTAGGAATGGTAATGTGTTGTTTGTTTCTGTTTTGTAAACAAATTCTATCATGTGTTTGACTTAGTTGATCTACAAGGTCAGGTAATGTAAAATAAAAAACTTAATTTAAAAGTTGAAAATTTCAGCATTCCAACATTATTAGCATTTCCTATCTGTGCATTCTTATAACCAAAGCTTATGTTTTTATAATTCTCTTTCACTTCCTACAAATATAATTATATCAACTAAAACATTATTTAGTCTGAACTCCTAAAGGACAAAACAAATCTCACAACTACCTACACTATACAAGGTCTGTCTGAAAAGTGATGAAACTGGTGTTACAAAAAATTTATTTCAGTTCCAAACAACAAACTACATAGCTTTCCCTTCAAAGTAATCTCTCTCTCTCAAGTCTAATGCAATTTTCCATCTTTCTCTGCAGCACTTCTGTGCAATGCTGGAAGGATTCTTCTTGAATACCCCTCAGCTCTGTTGTTAGGGCTCTCTTGATGGCCTCTACACCTTCAAAACTGATCCCTTGATGATCCGCTTTAGCTTGGGGGAAAGAAAAAGTTACATGGAGCAAGATCAGGTGAATAAGATTGTTCTAGTATGGCAATATTCTTCTTGGCCAGACACTGCTGAATGCTCAGGGTATTATGAGCAAGTGCATTGTTGTGGTGAAGCACTCACAATTTGTCCTGCCACAACGCTTCTTGCACACTGAAGCAAACGCTGCAGGATCTTTTGTAGACTTGCTGATTGATCATTTGGTCCTGTGGCAAGAACTCAATATAGACAATGCCTCTCATATCAAAGAATGTGATCAATATGACTTTGACTGTCTTGCTTTATTTGGCTTCAGTAATGTCAGTGACTTCCACTGACAGTTCTGGCACTTGGTTTCTGGGTTGTACTCAAAAACCAATGTCTCATCACCATGATAACTCTACAAAGCAAGTCTGCCTCAATTTGAAAACTGGCACATCTGCATGCAGCACTCCTTCTGATCATCATTCAGCAGCCATGGCACAATTTTTGCAAACTTTCTGCAAGCCCAAATATTTGATGATAATCTTCAAACACTGTCCTTTTTCATGTTCAGCTGACTTAAAATCATTCAAACAGTCAACCAACAATCGCCATATACCACCTGTTCACCTCAGTTCTGCTTGTTAAAAGCTTCTCGGTCCTGGAATTATCTTCCACTGCCTCACATCTGTCTTTGGACCTCTTGTGCCACTGAAAAACACGTGTGTAAGATGGTGTTATCTCCATACACTTACTGAAGTGCTTGTAACAGAGTTTTCCCAACCAAACCAAAACTTTCAGGTTCATTTGTTGCTTGGTGTTCATCGTTCATTCTTTGGTACTCATAGCTAGAGGAACTGAAAAAGAGCATGTGAAAAAGTGCATTAGTTGCAGAAAGCTAAGATTACAGATTTTATACTCCCAAGATATGTTGGATGATAACACAATCCATTTATCCTTCTTTTGCCCATCAGTGACACTGCACACCCAGTCCCATTACTTTTCAGACATTTTATTTGTTTGTGCACATGCATATATATATATATATATATATATATATATATATATATATACGTACACACACATAATGCATCGAAAATGTTGCCATACTACTCTCAATATAAATGCTGTGTCTAAAATTTTTGTATTTTTTATTTCTCTAACAGATTCCCAAACTGCATCCAACTTGGAGGTCGAATGCGTATAGGCAGAATCTTTCCAAACTATGCAAAACAGAAAAGGCAAAAGGCCTAAAAATTATTTCACGTATTCCCGAGCAAAAATGTTAAAATACTTAGCAGTGCAAGAGAAAACGGTTCGTTCTACCAGTGTTGTGTAGCATACATCGAACATGAGCAGTCTTGTATGTGTTTGTGAGGAGATATATATATCTCACACATGCACACACATATTGAATATACACTAATATCTCAACAAAAAGCTATACTGAAAAGTTGTTCTGTGACTTTGTTAAAGAGAGGCAATGTTATCTCTCCTTAATTTACAGTTTTTCATGTCATTTCACAGAATGAAAATTGTTCTTTAAAAAAAAAATAAAAAATAAAAAAAAATGAAATGCGAACCCAGCACAAAATTATATATAAGTGAAAAAAAATCCATTTAAAAAACGAGATGAGTATAAAGAAAAAAAAAAATCGGAAAATATTTTCTGATATTTTTTTTTTTTTTTTTTTTTTCAGCTCTTGTAAATTACTCCCAAACTCCAAAGAAAAATGAAGTAATAAATGATTGAATGAATGAATTAATAACAAAACACAGTGTAATGTCTTGTTTGTGTTTGTATTTTTTATTTTTTTTTTTGTGGGGTGGTTGTTTTCAGGAATGTTTTTATTGCTAATCATTTTTTTCTTTCTTTTCACACATACACACACATGTGGGAGAAAAAAATTAAATAAAAGTGGGTTATTAAAACATTAATAACCCACCTTTATTTATTGACAGGTGTTTTCTGAATTTAATCGTTAAACATTTTAATCATAACCCACTACGGAAAAAATTTAACAGAAAAACTCTAAAAATTAGTTATTCCTGCACAAACATATATAATATTGACTCGCACAACAATAAAATATTAAAATCATTTTATGACAGCAATATATCAGGTAACAAGCCCTCTTGAAATTATAGAAACAAAACCAACTGCCCAGTTGGAGGTATTTGTAATTCAGAATATGTTGTATACGAAGCTACCATCTCTCCAAAAGAAATTAATATTAATGATAAAAATGTATACATCAGTTTCTCTGTTGGGAGATGAAAACAGGTTCTACAATCAGACATTCCTTCTCTGATGCTTCTTTAATGCACTAAACTGCTCCCTTTCTCTCTCTCTCTCTCTCTCTCTCTCTTTCTAAATATTTCTGGAGACTTAAATATTGAGGCTTCTCCTCACAGATTAAATCATAAACTTCTGAAATAGATGCAAAATATATGCCTAAAAAAAATCCTAATAATTAAGTACAAAACTGCAGGCCAACTGTTGAGCCAAAGGAATGAAATTATTTTCAAGTGTCAACATAAAAATAGTTAAATTACCCAAAGAACATTTATTTTATGGGTAATGCACTTGTTAATTGTTTTTTAATTGTATATGTGTACAAGCATGTGTGCATGTTTGTATGTATATATGTATGTACTTGTTGCCCATGTATATATGGGTTTGTTGATGTATTTGATTATCATGCAGATATCTACATCATGTCTTTTATCTTTACCAGTATTTTTTATCTTTATTATTCATTATTATTTATATTTCATTTATTAATTTTTATTTTTACTATTATCATGTATTATTATTATTATTAGTAGTAGTAGTTATATAAGAGATATTTCTGTATGTTTAAGTTTTTATATATATATATATATATATATATATATATATAGTATCCATCCAAGTAAGTTTGATTAAAAATAACTGATAAGGTCTGTCTGTTTAATTTTTATAGTATTTTTGGGATAAGGTGTTGAGTATTGTGCTTGAAGTTGTGGATAAACTGCCCAAAGTTCAAATGTTGTTATTTTTGTTCAAGTATTTTCAACTATTGCAGCCATTATCAAGAACCAATGTAGTGTCTGTGTGGTAGTTAGAATTCCTTTGTCTACGTCCTGCATGTGTGTATATGTATGTAATCATACACGAAGATACTAACACCTGGGAACATCTTGCATCAAGCATTTTGAAGAAATATGATTACTGTTAGTGTTGATGAATTTGAGCAACAGTTACTCACACTGAGCTGATAGATATATGGAAGGTTTCCTTTCTCCTCTCAAGAGGAACACAAAGGAATCCTTGTGTGAATTTAGCCATACCAACAAACCTCTGTTATATTTAAGGGTTGAAAAATTAGACCTAAAGTACTCATGAAGACTTCAAATAATCCAATATATGAAAGAACTTTCAAACTATAATGCACACACTTTTACACCATCAAACTTCCCTTTGGTCACTGAAATAAAGTACTCACACCAATAAACAAATGCCCCAATATTACAGTCATCTCCATGGATACTTAACAAAACCTCATACAAACCTAACACTAATTCAACACAATGAAAACATTACAAATATCATCATAAATAGAAGCAAGTTTGCTAAACTGAAACACAAATATTAAGCCAATGTATACATCACTGGCAAAACATTTCAGGCCACCTTGCATTTCTTTAAAAATAAAATGCCTTAAAAAATATACAAATCCATCTCATTTTAACGTACAAACTAAAATTTCAGTAACTACAGCACACTTGATTTTATTTTGACAAAAAAATAAGCATTTAACTGTTTAAAAAAAAAGAAAAGAAAAAAGAACTTCATATTTTGTTTTTCATCAGTAAAACTATCACCTGCCTTAATTACCGCTTTACAAATTCTTGGCATTCTTTCCAAAAGATTTTGAGAAAAAAAAAAATTAGATGGTAGATTCCCATGCACTCAAGCACTGAAAAAGCTCGCTTTAGATATTCTCTTTGAACTCTTCTATCCAATCCATCTCATACTAATTCAATCGGAGAGATGTCAGGAGATTGAGACATAATTTTTTAAATTTTATTCAGGGGGGTAATTTTTGAGGTAATTTTGACAATTCAAAAGTGTTTTGGATCATTGTCCTGCTGAAAGGTGATTTCCCCCCCCCCATTATGTGTAAACCAGATGCTGTAGCATGTCTTTGCAAAATTGAATGATATTGTTCGTTTTTTTCAATATTCCCTTGACCCGAATCAAATCTCCAACCCTCTCTACCCTAAAACACGATACCATAACATACCTACCACCATGCTTAAATATTGGAACCACATATTCATCATTCAGTCTGACTTTCTTCTCACATATACTTTTACTACTAAAAAGTTCAAATTTGGAGCTGTAATGTAATAGTGCTTATTCACCTTCTATAACAGGTTTCTTGATGGCTATCCACCCCTTGAACCCCACTGATATGTTAATTTTTCACAGTTGAGTGACACTGGTTGCTGTCAAGAGGAATTACATTCAGCTGTCAATTCTGGAGCAGTTTTCCTATTTCTTTTGCTCTCAATATTCAAGTGTTTATTTTCAGCAATTTTTGATTTTGATGCTCCAACTCTTTGTGCCAATCTTTAACTGCCTTTTTAATGGGTATCTAGAAATCTTCAACTTCTTGGCAATTTGTCTTTGAAATTTTATTCAAAGGCTACTTTCAATTTGTGCCCTCACCTTTATGCTTAGGTGGTTTGATTTTGCCATTTTGTGCAAAAAAAAAGATATGCAAAGTTATATACATTTTGTTTACAATATTAATCAGTTCTGAATTAACATTTAGCTGTATTAACATTTAACTTAATTGAAAATTTTGGTTATCTCAAAAGGTCTGAGGTGAAAACAAAATATTTCTCACACAAAATATTCATAATTTAGCAAAATGCATTGTAGACAGATGATTTGAAATTTTAATTTTTTGGTAGTAAGAGTAGACTGGAGAAACTGAAAAAAATGCAGTTTTGTTTTACTTTAAAAAATATATAAAATACCTCATTTTAAGGTGTTTTTTAAAGAAATGCAAGATGGACTTAAGTTTTTACCTGTAGTGTATATTAATGGCTCTAAAAAATTTTAAATAAAACAGCAGCCATGGACAGAGTTTCCAAAATAAATTAGACTAAATCAAGCTTCCATATTTACAGCCATTCTCTCAGGACGTAGGCAGTCATGGATCTAAACCAAAACTAAAAAATTTCTTGTCCTTTTTCCGATCTAAATTCTGTCATCCATTTTCTCAAGCTAGTCAAGTATGTTATACATTGTTTTTCTCTGTCCCTCTTGCCTTCAGTCTTTCTGTGAGTAACAGATTTTTCAAGCCTTCCTTCTTTTATGTGCCCCAGAAATTTCAACTGTCTCTTGCTGACGTTAAATATAAGTTTCCTTTTTGTTCCGATTTTCTCTAAAACCTAGTTGCTCACATGTTCAATATGGTACTTGAACACATTAAAAACGAATATTTCTCTTAATAATAATTTTAAAATAATTCAGCAGATGATGTTATTTTATTTATGCTAACTGGATTTTTGGTGATTACTTTACTCTGTTTCTGTCGCTTGATACTGTATGTTTGTAAAATTACACTTTAATCAGTCACCATCACTTCTCAGTCTTTTGGCTGAGATCAAAGTGTAGAATCTGCTTTGGGCAGATAAACTACATTTCATCTCAGTTTTGTTTCCGTCTGCCGACAGAGAACAACTGAAAATATTGAGGTGTCCAGTCTCAGGAAATAGCCACCTGTTGCATTACCTCGTTCATTGTAATAAAGAGCAGTAGGAGGGGGAGATCAGTAGTAATACCAAAAGGAGGGACAAGCACAATTATAATAGAATTATTAAAACAATTTCATTTGTTAACAAACCAATCATTCAGTTGATTTCAGAGAATACTGAATTTAAAAAATAAAATAATAAATACAATAAGGAGGGAGGCACACATTTGTATACATACAAATTTTTTATTTATTGTATTTCCAACTATGAATAAACATACTTTTCATATAGTAAATGAACTAATGGTAGTGAATGGTATATTTGGGTTATCCAATAACTTTTACCTTCTTTCCAGAGCTTAACAATCAGTTCTTTTCACGAATTTGTCAATTCTTTATCTCTTCCCACGATGATAACCTGGCACGACTATCAATTACAGAATGTTGTTTGCATTTTTTAGGCTAAAAATAATTACTGATAACATTGGAAGATTCTAGAATATTATACTTGAATAAACTACAGTATTAAAACAATTTACAAGTTTTAAAATCTGAAACTTGCATTGTACGAATAATTTTTCACTCATTAAAATGGATAAATGGGATTTATTTCTATTAAATAAAATTTTTTTCTGTTTTCTATGCATATTTAGTTATTATGCATCTGTACAGTTAATTATATGAAAAGCATGTTTAGCTATTAGTTGGAAATACAATAAATTAAAAGTTTTTTTTTTATGTGTACGAATATTTGTTTCCCTACCACTGTATATGTAAACATCTTTTGTACTCCTTTGTAAAAAGAAAACAAAAGAATTAAATAGGAAAATTTCTGCATGATGGCAATGGGTTCAAAATATAGAAATAAAATACAAGAGGATTTGAGTACATATATATTGGTAGGGGTAGTTTAATATGAAACTCAATCATTCCTAAGTAGAAAAAGAGGGAAGAAATTATACTACTCTTATTCCTGTCAATTTTTTTCTTCTTCGGCAAAGAGGAAAAAAAAGTTAAATAAACAAGCAGACCAAGAGTACCATGTACACATACACACCTAAGGATATTATATTTGGTGAAATGTCTTGTCTTTTAATAAGTTGGTATCTATAAAAGAATAATTATCTTTTAGATTTATAGCCAAGCCTCCTCACCACCCTGGGCTCATGGCAACATCACATTGGGGATTGTATGAAAACTGATGTTTCAAAGTTAAGCAATAAGCCTGGTCAGAACCAAGAGGGTGACCACTTGGGAATACTGGGTGGTGTAATGGATAATGGCTTGGAATTGGAAATCAAGGAGCCAAGTTCCAATTCTAGTCAGGTTCATTATATTCAATTACATGCAAGTATCCTTGGGAAAGGTATGAATCCACCTCTTCTTTCCTAGCTATGGGTTAATTAGTAAAACTTGTATCACTAAATCATTATCTCCCAGAGATTGCTACAATATAAAAAAAAATATTTTCTGGCTTTAAATAACCTGCAAAAGCTTGATAAGTCATCGTAAACAAAACAATCTTCACCCTCTGGACAGGTGGTAGAAGAAAATTATTTCTCGGAGCATGGACTTCATCTTTTCAACAGAATAAATGTAAATTTTATTAAATATCTGGGCAGGGGTCTCTGACGTGGGAAGCGCTAAGGCATAAAAGAAAAACATGTTATGCTTTTCAATAACGGCTTACGGAAGGGGGGGGGAGAAAAAAAAGTAACAATTTTATTTAAACATCCAAAGTAAGACTTAAACCTTGAATTATTAAACAAATAATAATTAAAACGGAAACTGATTGCGTTTTGAAAATTACCTAATTACATTTGAATTTTTAAAATGGACCCATGTGCCAAAGTTAAGCTGAAACATATATCCAGTTCATTTTTTATTATTTTTCTATAAAATGTATCCAGATTCAATTTTTTTAAAAAGAAAATGTAATTTGGAGATTAAATTGGAAAAAATATTGCCAGCCACAAATGTAAATGAAATGAATGACTATTAAAAGGAAAATGGAACACTTTCAAAAATTTTATTTTTAGGACAAATGTGAGAATAAATATATTTTTTTTTTTTTTTATTTCATATGAATTCTGTTAAATTTTTTAAGAAATGTATAAAAACAACAGCCAAGATGAAAGTGATTCAAGCATAACAGTTTGAACAAAATACAATAAATAAGTACTTATATAGTTTTAAAATGCATCATTAAAGAAAATCTAAAATATTTAAGCTGTAATATCCATTGATGAAATAAGTCTGATTTAAAATGGAGTTCAGCTGGTAACTTTAATTCACTCAGCCAGCAATACGAATTTCGATGCATTAGACCCCCATGGTTTTGCATGGAATGAACACAGTATACCTTCTTTTTGATTCGTATGCACCCCAAGTTGTGTGGGAAAAGACATATGAACCAACTGATTATTAAAGACAAGACATTGCTCTACAAGAAAGTACAATTTTTTTTTATTTTTTTTTTTTGAAGAATTGAATTTGTCTGGTATTTCATCTAAAGATTTTAACTTCAAACTTCAACTTGTGAAAGACAACTTCAAACTTAATCTTAAACCCACTAAGTTGATGAGTGTAGCAGTTTGAAAAACAACTATGAAATTTTCAGGGTTGAAAATGTGGAAAAAGATCCATCATTAAAATAGCGACACAATTTAAAGCAATGTGGAATAAAAACTGATCCTCGCATACGAGGAAGAATTGTATCTTTAGAAAGAGAAAAGATTAAACTTTGTTTCCATATTAATTTTATCAAATAGCTTCAAATATAAACAAGATGTCAGCAGTTGAAATGGAAGGAAATTTCACTATTTTGACGTGTTCAATGTGTAAACAGTTTAGGATACCTGCTTGAACTAGACCAAATTTACATTAGAAGTTTACTATTATTTATGTCAAATTTTTAAGTAAATCTACTCAAAAATTAAAATTTCAAAACCATACTTTACTATAAGTGTAAACAGCAAATAAGGCAGGAACATTTTTTAATTTTCAGCAGAAGGCATAAGAAAAGAAAAAAAGTTTGCCAATAGAATAAAAAGGGACCTGGAAGAAAATGAAATAATGCAAAAAAGATAGAAAAACAAAAGCACTTTTCAATAAGTTGAATAATTTATTCATGTATAAAAACATCTTCCTCAAAAGACTTCAATGCAAGGGAAAAAAAAAATTACATAAACTTAAATTCCAAATGGAATCCCAAAACAAATCCATTTCTTTTACTGCCGAAAAAAAAAAAAAAAAAAACTGCATAAAATTATGCACTACATTACTGAGCCCCCAAAACATCTAATTTAAGCCTACTACTTTACTAATCAAGAAAAGTGTAAATATATGTAGGATTTGTAGTTTGGTGTTTTATCAGCAAATTATTGGGTTTTGTACATGGTAAAATATGGAACTTGAATATATTCAAGGTTACACATAATATTACAAAACATTAACCCAGCATATATTGTGCATTTAAGTTTTTAGTTTAATAATGTGGTTTAGAAATAAAATAGAACATAATTCTTCAAGTTAAGAACCACAAAATAAATTCAAATATCTAATAAAACTGAAAAGTAGTTTTCAATGAAATGAAAGTAACTGTAGGATAGATCTTTTAATTCAATTTTTAAAGTAGTAATTTCTGGCCTTGATTATCTTTGTGTAACTTTTTAGTAAAGAGTCATGTCTGTAAAATGGAGTGTATAATGTTTTCAAAGATTTTTGAAAAACAAAAAAGGGAATGATCTAGATTTCTTTAATTAAAACATTCCAAAAAACTAAAAAGAAAAGACAACAAAACAATCATTATTATATAGTAACAAGTTTTAAAAAGCCCTCAGACAATAACTGAAATGGCTATAATAAATTCAGTTTTGTTCAGTTGTGATTATATATGATTTAAAAAAAAAAAAGAAAAAAAAAAAACTTTTAGTACAAGTTAATTTTGAAACTGCTATATTTTTTATGAAATATTGCTTTTTAAATAAGTTTGAACATTAAGACAGTTTAGTCATTTATCAAACACAAATGCTTAAATAGCCTCCCCCCCCCACAAAAAATGATATAAACATTGAATATATTAGATTTGTATTGAAAAGAAATATTAATATACATATAATAAACTAAAGTTTGAGAAAGACTCCAATTATTCTTGTACAATAATCACTTGTGCATTTTGAATATTTTATATCCAGTAAACAAAGGCCTTCCATCTTTTTTATTAAAATTTGCATTTTTTAATACAAATGTAAATACCTTAAGTGCATACTTTTTTCTTTTTAGAAAAATTTGCATTAATTGTCTGCTAGATGAAGTCAAATTTATTTTTGATGATATGGAATAATTATATTTTTTCTTTTTTGTGGAATGATAACATATATTTAAGCAAAAATGTTTGTTTTGGAAAGATTAGTTTCAGCTGAATAGATTTCCCTTCTGAATAGAAGGGTCTTTAATACTAAAACAGGTTTCTTTTTACTATATTTAAAAATAAACTTCTATCTTTAAATGAGTACTTTAAAATCCTATCCTGTTACACAATTCAAACCAAAGGTTCCTCCCTTGAGAGAAAAAAAAAAAAAAAAAAAAAGTCAAAGAAACTCCAGCCATTTTGTGTTATTAAAATTGTTTTTCTCTTCCTCTCTAATCTTCACACCATTCTGTCACAGAAATGGAGATCCAATGAATCCACCTTTTGTAAAGTTTAATTATCCATGTAATAAAGGGAGACATATTTTATTCAAATTCATTCAAATCACCAGTTTTTTTTTCAAAACTCATCCATCATAGCCATGATAACTTTTCCACACTTCCTTCAACAATCTTTTAGTGTAATGTTTTTTCGGGATTTTTGTTCAGAGTTGAAGTTTATTTCCAATATCAATAAATGGAAGAATAGTTTACCTGCACCACAGCAGTCAAGCAGAAAAAACTGTCATTATGAAGGAATAAAAATGACCTTGATCCTCTTTTGGCATTTTTTAAAAATATATATATATATATATATATATATATATGTACATATATATATATTATATATAACACACACGCACACACAGATATATTTTATTATGTTATCTCACATTCTTTATACAAAGAAGGCATACCAAGCCTGTATGGTCAGGATCAAGGTTGATGCTACGAATCACATTATTTTCAACGACCAAAGAATATCTGTAAAATAAAATAAAAATGCTAAAGAAAATAAAGAAAAATTAAGTTTCAATCTTTCATTGTGTAAATGTTCTAAAATTAAGTATTTTTATAAACTTAAATTTTCTATAGTCCTAATCAGATAAGTGGTTAATAAAATGATAAACAATGTTAGTGGAAATAAGATGAGAGGTAATAGCTGTTAAAAGCTTCAGTGGCTGAAATGACATAGAAAATACACGAAAGTCAGGGTTATAATGTCCTCCAGATAATTAATATTTGATAAATCCACTAGAAATACATTATCTAATACTTGAACAGTTATTTTACTGCACAGCCTGACTGGGACAAGTTATCCAGAACCAAACTGTAACCAGGAGTTTAATTTTCCCTTTTAAGAACTGGGAGGAGAACATTGAATAAATAAGTTTAGAAAGTCAAACAATTACTAAAAAGCCTATACACATCCAACAAAGTAGATTTACTAAAAAAAAAAAAAAAAAAAAAAAATTTTTAAAAGATTTAAAGTTCATGGTGTAAAGTATTATCAAATTATTTAAAAAAAAAAAAAAAAAAAAAAAAAAATGCAATAAATATATTCAACAACTAAAATCTTAAGACTTTTCTTTCAATGCAATTGAGAGAAAACATAAAAGTTTAGAAACCGGTCAATTCCTAAGCTTCACATTAAAGAAGAAAAATTATATTTCAAAGATGCATGAATTATATATATATATATATTCTAAAGTTTGATTTTAGGATTGATGATACAAATTTACTTCCAAAGATTTGATGGGAAACAAAAAAGATTTTCTTATAAACTTATTTGCAAATCTTACTAAAAAAAAAAAATAAAATAAAAAAAGTCCTTACCTTTTAGATCTTATATTTCCTAACATTTTGCTGCAGTCTAATTCCATACCAATTGCTTTAGTGAATTCCCCACGAGGATCTGCTAACATTTTTATCTATAAACAGAAATTTTTTTAAAATCTTTTTGCATAAACTCATCTTTGGGGATTATTTAGACATAAAAGAACAAAATGATATTAACTTTCATCCATAGTGTTTGATCAGCATTCCTTGTAAAATGAATTAAAAAAATTTCACATTAATATAAAGTTTATAAAAATGGATCATGAATGAAAAGTAACAAAATTGTTACAAAATTTAATACTGTTTACTTCTGGTTTAACAATGATAGCAAATGGATTTGGCTGTACATATTGATGTTATTTTAGGACAAAAAGGAGGACAAAGATTCTATTCTGTGCTCCAGAAATCAAATTTAGCCATCTCAATTTATCAAAGAATAAATCAAATACATTTAGTGCTCTGTTAATTTATATTGTGCTTTCAAGACAAATATATCAAAAGAATTGATTCATGATAATAAAAAAAACATATATAAAATAAAAAGTCAAAAACAACATCAACGTTACATACCTTTCCTTCAGCTTTTGTTTTCTGAGACCAGGCTGCCATCACAAATGGATCATTCACTGATACACATGCAATCAAATCATATCCTGCCTTCTGTAAAGTAGATAATTTTTTTTTCTTTTATTGTAAGTATCTAATTAAAAAATTAACAATCTTTTTAAGGTAACAAAAACAAAAGTTAAGTGCTATAAAGATCTGTAATCCTGCATATCCCCCACTCCACCCCTTAATGTTCCCCATGTGTACCAGTTAAGAAATACCCTCATTGCTTTCTATAGATTTCTTTTCTATCTGTGAATTGCCAGGACTTCTTGGGAAAAACAGGTGGTTCCTGTTTTGAATTCACCCTTTTCTTAGACTAGTTACTACCACTCTATTGTATTTAACTAACAGCCGGATGCATACTTTTCCTAAGGGCATTAGTGAAAAGTGAATGTAACAGCCTACCAGAATTTCAACTCTGCTCACCAATTCTGCTTTCCATTCTAATAACCATTATGGTGCTTGTGCATCCTTAGTACTAGATATAGCTCAAAGTGTAAAAGTAAATATTTCTCCAATGTAATATAGAAAAAAAAAATAAAAATAAAAAATAATGACACATAAGGTAACTTTTTTCTTAAAAATAATTGAGAATTTAAAATTTAACCAGGAAATTTCTTTTATTTTTTTTTTAAAAACAAAGCTTTTAAGAGAAATCTTTACCTACCTTAAAAGTTTCATAATGATTAATATATTCAGGAATGTGTGCCTAATAACAAAAAGAAAAAAAAGAATTTAACATGTCAAAACTTTCATTCACTTTAATCTTTACATATATAAAATGATATCAAATAAACTACAAAAAGAAACTCATTGCAAATTATTTATTTACCAGCTCTTTATGTAATGTCAGTGAGATAAGATTTATTTAATAGCTCCTTATGCAATATCTGTGGTAACCTTTTTTAAATACATAAAAAAAAAACACACACACAACACCACCACCAACCTATAAAATAAGTAGATGCCAAAATCCTAACAGTACCTACGAACAAATATAATGAATATTATTTCCTATTTACATTCAGAATAATATCCTCATCTTTGTTGATATTATATTTTTGTTGTCGGGCTTTCTGAATTTTTTCAGGTGTCAGTCAGGACAATAGCCTAAGAGATTAAAGCATTGGTTTATGAATTTGGTTACATAGTAATTGTGAGTTCAATCCTTAAGAAACATAGTGTAGACTTAGACCCAGTGGAAACAGGGTGAGCAATAACTGAACAGTACTAAATAAGAAGAAGACTAGATATCCCTAGACATGGACAGTGGAACAATAAACAATCTACCTGTGCAGATTAAAATTAAGTTAAAAATACAACCTAACAGACTCTAGGGAAATGGGGCAAGCAATAACTAATCAGTACTAAATAAGAACAAGACTAGATATCACTAGACATGGACAGTGAAACAAACAATTTACCTGTGCAGATTAAATAAAGGGTTCGGGTCAAAATTCCCTGAAAGTTACATGGATTGACAGACACCTGAAGAAGGTTGGAAAGCATAACAGGCAAAGCACTATGACGATGAAGACATCAGCCTAAATATAAATAATGATAACATAGTAATTGTAAACTCAATCCCTAGGCAGGATAGTATAGACTTAGACCCAGTGGAAACAGGGTGAGCAGTAACTGAGCAGGTTGCAGGGCACAATGGACAAAGCACTGGGATGATAACAACAAAGATAAAGATATTAGTCTGAATATAACTCCTATTCCAGGAATTCAAACAATTATAATTTCCTATTTTAGTAGGTTGATAGTGAAGTTACCAGTACCATCTTTTGCACAATACTAGGAAAGTTTAAGAGTTTTTGAAGTTTTCTTAACTCTTTTTTACTTTTACTTATACATGTATTTTCTTTATGAATTGTTTGATGAAAAGTGAAATTTTTTCTTTTTGTTTATCCTGAATAAATGAAATGACTTTTGTAATGACATAGGTGCAAGCATATATAGGGAATGTATTTTCAGTAAAAAAATGAAAATGATCTTTTAAATGTCAGAATTTTGAAAAACTAGTGAACTGAAGGAAATTTTAAAACAAAACACACTTGCAGAAAAGCTAAAGTCAAATCACTCAACTTTTGTACTTTATTCAAGATCCATTTTCAGAAAAGAAACATTGGCCAATAATAGTAAAATTAATTGAAAAAAGAAAATGATAAAATAAAAAATTGTAAACACTCACATTGGAACAACCTGGAGTAAATGCTCCAACAACCGAAAAAAGAACTCCTTTCTTGTTTTTGTATAATTCAGCAAGATTAACAGACTCAATTACATTACCAGGTTTGTTTTCAAACAATGAAATTTCTGGTAACCTTTCACCAACTTGCAACTAAAAGAGAAAAGCAGAAAAATATATATATATATATATATATATATATATATATATATATATATATATATAATAAAAAGAAAAGTGTGTAAATTTAATAGCTAAAATAGACTTATAATAATTATCAAAAGAACATTTTTTTTTTTTTTTAAATATCTTTCAATTATTCCTTTGAGCACAGTGTATGACAAAGTATTAATTTATGATTGGTAAATAGCATTTGTCTATATACATGGTATTGGATATAGAGCAATTCTAGGCTTTGATACAAATTAGACAATATATTAACAAATTATCTTTATAAAATTCACTAACAATCCCCTGCTCCCTAATGCTTTATAAAGTAAAGGTCAATTAGTCAGAATCATCAAGAAATCACAGGAATTTTTTTTATAATTTAAAACATGTAAGTAAAAAATATTCAGTTTCCAAATCAACAGGGACCATTCTTTTCCTTTTTATTTTAACCACAAAATGCCCTAAAAACTTCAAAAGAACAGATGTTCAATCATTTCTTAAATCAATACATATGTTGAATACAGTTAAAAAAAAATATAGAAATTAGATTAATATTTCCAAAATAAATTTCTTAATCACTACAAAAGAATTAAATATTTCACTAAATTTATATTATCAATATTGAAGAGAACATAAGAAATTATATAATTAATAATAAAATATATTCAAGTTTAATAATTGTTGTCTGTCTATATTTCTGAGATGAGGTATTATGTACAGTATTTACATTAGTCGGACTATTGTCGCCATATTTGTCACAACGTTTCGGCCGTTGTACGCTCCAGCCTTCTTCAGGTGGTTGGAATTTCGAACTGAACCCTTTATTTCGATCACTGGGGTAGACTGTTCTAATGTTTGATGGATGTCAGTTATCAGTATTCTGAGTATTATAAACCTAATGTTTTCAGCATCATTTTTACCAGTGCTCATATTGCAATTTTTTGCTGTTATCATTGCATGTCTTTACCAGAGTTCATATTGCAACTTTATGTTTACTTTGTTATCATTGCTTTTCTCTGGCACTCCTTATTACTGGTTCACATATTGTATTTATTTCTATGCTTGGTCGGCTCAGGAGATTTTTGTGGCCTAGCATATGTGCCATTCCTTAAGTTTCTGAATTTTCCAATGGTGTTCCCTGTCTATGATCTCAACATGATCCCACAGGGAGCAGTGATCTCCCTTCTCTCTCCATATGTGGTCAGCCACGCCTGATTTTTCTACTTCCCCTCTTGTTACAGCTTTCTGGGGTTCTTGAAGCCTTACCTTGAGGGGGCGGCCTGTCTCTCCTTTATATTCACATATATCGACAGGATGAAGGCTTAGCAATGGGCTCGCCATTATCACCAGCAATGGCGAATATATACATGGAATACTTTGAAGAAATGGCATTAGACTCTACATCGCTAAAGCCAACTATATGGTTACAGTACGTAGATGACACCTTCATATTCTGGCCACATAAGAACATCAGGAAGATGTTCAGGTTCTACTGGATCATGTGAACTCAATAAGACCTTCGATACAGTTCACAATGGAGAAAGAGAGTAACAACTCACTCCCATTCCTGGATGTACTAATATCTCGAACAGAGCATGGGTTCAAGACATCCGTATACCGTAAACCAACATTCACGGACAGTACCTCAATTTCGACTCCCACCATCCATACAAGCGTAAAGAAAGGGATGAATCCGATGCTTACAACACCGAGCAAAAGTCATAAGTGGCGATCCGGAGACGTTAGATAAGGAACTGGTCAGTATAAGTAGTACCCTACAACGTAACAACTACCCTGGGTACATGGCAGCAGCCCCCAAAAACTGGGATAGGTGGGTACAAGAGGAGGAGGAGGACAACAACACTCAGAAAACAGTCTGCCTGCCTTATGTGAAGGGGTTATCAGAGAAAATACAAAGGATCTGCGGTCCATATAACATCAGGACAACCTTCAAAAGCGTGACAACACTTTGCAGGTATCTCTCACGAGTGAGACCCCCACAGAGAGGAACATGACTAAAAGACTGTGTGTACGCTATCCCGTGCAGGGCGGGAAGGAATAAAAAGGAGAGACAGGCTGCCCCCCTCAAGGTAAGGCTTCAAGAACACCAGAAAGCTGTAACAGAGGGAAGTAGAAAAAATCAGGCGTGGCTGACCACGTATGGAGAGAGAAGGGGGATCACTGCTCCCTGTGGGATCATGTTGAGATCATAGACAGGGAACACCATTGGAAAATTCGTAAACTTAAGGAATCAGCACATATGTTAGGCCACAAAAATCTCCTGAGCCGACCAAGCATAGAAATAAATACAATATGTGAACCAGTAATAAGGAGTGCCAGAGAAAAGCAATGATAACAAAGTAAACATAAAGTTGCAATATGAACTTTGGTAAAGACATGCAATGATAACAGCAAAAAATTGCAATATGAGCACTGGTAAAAATGATGCTGAAAACATTAGGTTTATAATACTCAAGGACACATGGCACAGTGGATAAAGGCGTTGGTTAGATCCAGTGACAGACCCAAAGAAGGTGAGTTCAATTCCTGGTTAAGGCAGTGGAGAACTTTCAGAGGGAAAATTAGCAGGAGATAACTGATAACTGACATCCATTAAACATGGCACGTGGAACTAGAACAATCTACCCCAGTGAACGAAATAAAGGGTTCAGTTCGAAATTCCAACCACCTGAAGAAGGCCGGAGTATACAACGGCCGAAACGTTGTGACAAATATGGCGACAAAGATGAGGACAATAGTCCGACTAATGTAAATACTGTTAATAATTGTTATTTAAGATTATATGTTTATCGTTTAATAATCCGTCAGTTATAAATAATGTTATATAATGCACGATACACGCTTTGGTGATCGTGATGACTGATAAGGCAGATTTTTTTTGCAGTAGTTGGCCATTTCTTTCTGCAGTAGACCAGTTGCTATTCAAGGCTATAGAACCTGGTCTGTCCTGCTATTTACCCATAGCTGGGGGAAGAAGAAGTGGACTCATACCTTTCCTAGGGGTATTAGCACATAAGTGAATGTAATGGATTCGACTGGAATTCGAACTCAGCTCTCCAATTCCACAATCTGAGTCACTATCCATTACTCTCCCATTATTTAAATTTAATAAAATAAATATTATGCATACACTTTGCCCTACACTACTGTCAGGTTTCATGCAGCTATACAATATTCAGGTTGAAAAAAGGAGGAGGAACTATAAATGTAAGAACATGCTTCCTTTTGTCACCTAAAGATTGCATAATTGCATGAAACATACAGTAGCAGAAGGAAGAGGTCATCTGCAGAAAGGTGATTATAAATAATGTCTTATTTTCTTAAATAACTTTATACACAGAATAACAATTTGATTTCCACTGAATGTAAATATTGTGAAAATAATATTCATGAATTCCTTGTAATTATAAATTTCTGAAATAGCTTATTTTGCTTTAATTCCATCATTTGATCCTTAATTTATCGTAATCTGTAGTCAAAAGTAAGATTCTAATTTCTGCATTACAAAATTATATCAAACCACTAGCAGACAATGTTCATGTACATAAAAAAAAAAAATCAGAAAACCTATGTCATAATCTCTACTTTTTACCATTAGTTTGAATTTTCTTCATTTTATGCAAGTTCAAAGAATGTTTATCACCCCTACGGATTGAAAAATATAAACGAGTAATTAAAAAAAAAAAAAAAAATTAATTTTTGGTGATGCTATACAAAATGTGATTACATTACAACATATATCAGTTTTTTTTAGTTTTTTTTTTTAGATATCATCCCTTGTAAACTGATAATGTACCTTGTACTTCTGTATTCTCCACTTTTACTTAACAGGAAAGAGAGCTTGGAGAACTTGACACCCACAGGACATATTGAGAGCAAGAGGAACAGAGGAAGTAGTGAATAACCTACCTAACAAACTTTTATAAAGTTTGTTAGGTAGGTTATTCACTATGTCTGGCAGAAAAAGGATTAAAAGAGAATCCTTGAAATAAGTCATCCTTACATATTTGAGAAGAAAATGTTTTATCAAAAAAAGAAAAGTTGTACAACCTGTGGTAAAAGAAAAAATGTTCTGTAAAATACTATGATAAACCAACAATCGTGAATGATTATGAACTTGTCAATATTTTGAAATTTTCATTTGAAAATAACCATTTTTCTGTTTCCTAACATCACTTGATTGAACTTTTTATTGTAGTGGATTAAATATAATAAAGTATTTTTTTTTTCAGCATAAACTTCATTGGAGTGCACTGTCTTGCTTCTTCAAACAAGGCCATTGTTTTGTCCATCTGATAGTACTAATCTATATAATAAATGCAAATGTCAGTGTATCACTGTTACACTTTTTCAACTTTACTCCTCGAGGCCGTAACCCAACATACCATTTTGGAATTATGCCGATTCTGTAAGCAAATTAAAAACTTTCTGGTCCAGATCCAGACCTGCAATCCTGAAATTTTGAATTTCCAAGTTTTCATTACTGTGATTGTTTGGTGATTTTTTTTATGTGATAACAATTTTTATAACTTATAAATAAATTTGGGAATAATCAAAACTAATTGCAAAATCCAGTGAAAGTCACCCATGAAATAAAAATAATTGTTTGTATGAAAAGTAAGGACCTATATATATCGAATTGTTTTTAAATTAAGTGGCAGCAGAAGAATTATTGTTGAACTTTTAAAAGGTAAGGTTAAATATTAATGCAATAATTAAATGCAGCAATCAATTTTGAGTTCTTCTGTAGTAAATTGTTACCTATTGCATCTACTCCTCCCTACCTATTTTGATGAAGGCTTGATCAAGAGCCCTCTGTAGTAGCTAGCTTAAATGACACCTGATAGGGAGGCTTTTAAGCTAGTCAATACATATTTCCTGAAACAGAAAACTTTGTACAACAACTGTAAGTTAGGAAGAAAATAAGAAACTTGACATTTTCAATTTGTTTGAATTAGGAT